TTCTTCTGTATAGTGGCAAGGACAGAAATAATGGACTCCCTAGCCCGATCCACATGCCCCATGAGTCGAAGAGCAATGGACTCTCTATACAGGACACAACATTGCAGATAGCGGACATTCAATCCATCTATGAGCATTTTTGATTGGGCAACAGCGAATATATGGCCTTCAGTACCTGTAAATCTAGTCGCTTCAAGCAAGCTAGAGATTACTTCAGTTTTCATATTTCGGTCCAGTACGGAATAGCCTTCATTATTTTGAACCTCAAGCAAGGTGTGATGGAAATGTGCAACTTCCGTGGACATGTCTGTGGGCCTGAAACTAGTTAGCAGGTATAATATGTGATAATAGCCCAGGACATACACACTCAGGTTCGAGGAATTCCCAGGGAATTGTGTGGGATGCAAAGAGCAAGGCCACCAGCCTCCAGAAACAATGTAACTCATCGGGTACTGCCGCCAGAATCCGAGCCCTCCAAACCGAGTTAACGCGAAAGGTGTCGCTAGAGCTAGTTGAAATAGCCCCCTTGAGCCTCAATTCGTCCCGTATGAATCGAAACGCGTTCGTGTTTGCAATTAGCGGGACCAATGGGCTATGTAAGCCTGGAGCAACATCAGCGATACCACCGGAGTCTGTCCAGCGCTTTCGAGTAGCCACTCCGCGAACGCAAAGGGCGAGAGAAACGTCCTCGTGTCCGAGAAAGCAGAAGAGAACCAGCACAAGACGGGCTGTTTCAGAGCACTCTCCGAAAACTTGAGCAGTTCCCGCCCAGGTTAATTCCAACCAGCGAGGGAAATAAATGACCCTCCTCTGGCTGCTTTGAGACATGGCTGCTGGCTTGGTGAGTTCTGTTTATTTTGCCTGTTTGTGGATAAAAAAACATCAGGAATGTGTGTGAGAGTGTGTCTGGTAGAATAATAAACAAAACTGAAGGACGGTACAGGAGAGAAGTGACTGCAGAGTTAGTTGTTTAAATATAACAGGCTTATGAGCTCCGTCCTGGTTGTCCTGCCGAGCGGCTGGGAAGCAGTAAAGATGCCGCTTGTAACTGAATTATTCATACAAGGACACCTTGCGGCTGGTAATGCTAAGAAGGGCATATTTGACATTGACAATAGAAGGAACAAGGAAAAAGGACCAGCTGAAAGATGATTCTAGTTGGATCTTTGTATAGAACAAGGGAGTTTTTGAATAAAGAGGGTATATCCAGTGTTTCACCAGTAAAGGTAAGATTGAGAGTAGGTCATACATAGACCTGTCTCTATTTGATATTTGATATTAGGGCCTTACTATGATATTTGATATTGCCAGAAGCATTAAATATCACTTTGTGCCAAAAGTCAGTATCGTCTGGAGAATAGATATTGGTAGGCCTTTGTCAATATGTTGAAAGCTGTCAGAGGACTGCTGAACTGGAGTTGAAATGGCACCCTCAGTTCAACTGGTTTGCCTCAGCTAGGTAGTTATGGCTGCAAATGCTATCAAGTGTCGAGCTGGCGATTAATAGATCAAATTCGGCGTAGAGGGTAGAAGCAGCCCAGCAGCCTTGATAGTTATCAGTCTGCTCCAGGAAGATATGGGAGGCCCATATTGACCAGCTGGTTACATGTTGACCAGTCGGCTATGCACATCAGTTCGAGATCACTCGGCCGTACCCCCGGAAATAAATACCTATGGACCCTGCAGGCCAGCCAGCTCCGTCGGACAATGGGCCAAGAGTTCATGAAAAGTTCCAAGTCGATCGTATGACGGCGAGATCAGATCGTATGATTTCTCGGCGTCAGACAGACTCCGTAAGCTCGGGCTCTTCGGCCAGCTATTAATACCTCTTATGGCGGGCGGCAAAGGCAAGGCTGACCGTTGGTTGAAGAGTTACTGTCTCGTATAGCCCGAATTCAAATAGTTGCAGGGATTGACCAACAGCAACTGTCCATGCAGAGTCGCCTGACAACCTGCTTGATGCTCCCGCTTTTTGCGAACTACGCAGCAAGAGCTCGACACAGAACGCCTCGGTGGGTTTCTGGGGATTGCAGACTGTGTATCATGGCCGATCAGGGCGCGGCACGGGTCGAAGGAGTCTTGGGAAGACTAGCAGCCGCAATATTCTCCGGCGGTCGTAGGACATAACGTAGTGGGCAGATCAATCGACAGAGCCCGTCCTGGACGCTCGAAGGAGCATTCCAAGCGCCTGGTGTAAACAAATCTTGCATTGAGCTCCCAGGGAATCATGCTTTGATCCTTCGTCGCGATCTCCCGTGCAGTAGGAAGTAGTTAAGTAAACATCTCGAGATGCGGTTTGATACCGACGAAACAGCCTAGGGATAAGCTTATAACGGCTGCCGGCAAGGGTCCCTCGGTCGTCTGCATGTCTCTGTCTCTGTCTCTGTCTATCGAAAGAGATAAACATCCCCCCTGGCTGCTTTGCTTCCTCTCTGCCGTGTTTCTAGTAATGCAAGTTTGGCCCTGCAGGAGGAGACGTCAGCCAACCTGCTGTATATCAACCAGCACTCAAGCCACAAATCTCACCTCTCTGGCCCCTCTGCGCCCCTCTCTCTAGTACTGCTCGCGCTGGCCGATACGAAAGAGCATCACGAAGCGAGGCCTTCGCCTAAGCAGCATCTTTCTTGTCCCCGTCGGGCTCGCTCACCTGCCTCCGTCCTGCTTGGCTCTCTTGCGCGGCGAATAACTACTTGACATATCGCGGCCGCGGGCTTGACTCTCTTGACATCTCGCAGGTAAAACGGCCGACCTCAGCGCTGGTGATATCCAGCCGCCGTATATAATTATCCTTGGCTGCCCGTCGGCTCGTGGGCGCTGGTGATATTTTTCATCTGATATTCTCAAAAAGTCTTCGCCTTCGCTCGAAAAACATCCTTGCCGCTATTCTCCAGCATCCTCGCAAAACCTCCACACAGCAGCACAAGAGCACCCAGATCTACAGCACCAGAACAGCTACTGGCCTCTCATTTGTATCCATGGATAGCTTGGGCGGTTTGTCTCATCCCAATCCAGTCGTCCCCGCGCCGTCAAATTCTGTCTTTGCAAGCCTGCATCGCAGAAGCCGCACCGCCGACTCGCCCGGCTCGGTCACCAAGACCCTAGAAACCAGGGACGCTGCAGCTAGAGATGCGAAGCGATTTCTCCTCCAGGCTGTCCGGAATGATTGGGCTTACCCTCCACGCCCGGCAGCCCTTGCTGCTGTTGAAGCAGACACCGCAACGGCCCCTGCTGCTGGCGCGCCGGTAGAAGCTCCACAGGAGCCGCGTGAGATAGCATGGAAGCACCGGGAGATGGACAACTCGGGCTCAGACTGGGAAGACCCGCTGGAAAATGCCGAAGGAAAGGATCCGTATCGGTTTGAGTCGCCTGGGGCCATTGCGCGGGAGCTGTCGGATAGACGCAGGAAGCGCCGCAAGATACTGGAGGACGAGATGACGTGGAACGAGGGCCTGAGTCTCTGGACGGCGAGACGGGATGCCTGGACAGGTGCAAAGGCGCCCGAACGGCCCGGGGATGCTGCTACAGATGGTGCAAAGGCGAAGCTAGAGGCGTACAGGCAGTCAATAAGCAGCGAGGAGAGCTATAACGGGAGCTACGATACAGACCTGGTTGATACAGAGTCGCAATATACCCTTTCCAGGCCTGCGTCCAACGCCTCAGCCACTGCTCATGTCAAACTTTCAGAAGCAGCAGCAGATAACACATCTACGAGGGACAAGGTAGAGCATCTTACCGTCTCTTTGGACCGTCAAGCTGCCACCGCAGAAGACGTAAAGGAGGAAGTAGACGACGACGATGATGAGTGCCTGGTGCCCATCATGGGGCCTCTGATTCCCGACTCTAACATGCTACGAGCCGCCATCACTCCCAATGTCTATCCAGCAATTTACAGCAGACTCGTCATCCAGTCGAACACGCCCGCCGTGCCCATCAACCTCTCCCATATGACCCGCGCCCTGGTCCAGGGATGGAAGACAAACGGCGAATGGCCTCCAAAGCCAACCCCGACCAAAGATGTGCCAGTCATTAAACGGCCGAAGCAACCGGCTGCCAACACCAGTGCTAACCTCAATGTTAATGAACACGGTGAATTGCGGGATGGCAAGGGAAGAAGGCTGTCCGGCGTCAGCAACGCAGTGAAAAAGGTTCTTGGACTGTCTTCCTTCAACTCCGGGAATAGGCTGCATCTACGCTCAAACAGCCACAGTGGTTCCGTATCCAGGCTTCCAACGGAGGATTCTCTCAACAGACCTTGACGGTCTCCCCCTATAACATGGATGAAATGTGTTTATGCTACCTATCTGATGTGTTACGAGCTTTCTCTGTTTCTCTAGGTACTGTTTGCATGTGTTTCTCTCCTTTTCTTTCTCTCTTGTTTCATGGCCAGGACATCACGCTGTCCTTCTATGGTCGAGTCAGATACCCAATAAGCAAACATGGCTGCTTGGAGTTTGTTCTTTCGGTAGTTCTAGGGAGTGTCATCCGTGTTGGCGCTCAGTGATTTATGTACTTACTTGGACATGTCATGATATCAACGGTAGCCTGTCAAATTGATTCGAAATTGACCACTTCTCATCGGAGCATCAATCTTCCAATCCCAATGAACATACATTATTTTCTACATCTTTCATCTACCGCTATTCACATACCCAAATGCATCATCACGTCGTTAAGGCTAAACTTGAAAGAATTGGAAATAGAAGGAAAATATGAGAGCACAAACAAGACGCTCTTTAGAAAAGACATAGGGTTTCTATGGCGCCAAACAGAGCCTGGATGGTCTGTATAAAAGCCGTTTTTGCAACCTCGGAAGATAGAGTGCCCAGGTTGACATCAATCCTTGTGTATTGCTGTCCACGCCGGACAAAATATTTCCCCTCATGCACTGTCCAGTTTTCTTCGAGCCACGATTCAAGTTCTCGAGCTGCAAAGTTTCGAGACTCAGTGAAGAAAGCTGGGGGGCTGACATGTTGAGAATCAGGTGAGTTAGAAGTGAGGTCACGGAGGTATGGTATGTTGGGGGCTGGGGGGTCGAGGAGAGAAGAGAGGCTAAATAGCGCGGTCTGTCCGAAGAATTCAATGTAGGATAATAGGTCAGTAGCTTCCTGGCCCAATCGGTCAAGATAGTCGACCATGGCAAGAGAGGCTATTATGCTCTCAAAGATGGATGTGAGAGTGAGTAGCACAGATGATTCTTGCAATAGACTTGGGTCATTGATGGGATATTGCAGGACAGTGTAAACAGCGCCGAAATATGCCGTAATTGAAGTAATAGCAATGCTGACCTCGTCTGGTTTAGTGCAGTCAACTGACATGACTAAATTGGAGAAGATACGAGTCGTAGCCTGGATAAGCGGACGGGCGACAATCCATGCTGTCGGGTTGTTGATTGATACCGCGACATATTCGGGAATAACGCACTGCAGAAGGAAGCACCGGAGAGATGGCCTCTCATAGCCTCCTCCTTCAGACGCATCTGACATGGCTTCGTAGAATTGGCCTGCAAGGTAACTCTGCTGTGCATCAACCGCCGCTCGTTCGGAGACACCTTGGATATAAGTAACAAGCTGCTTTGCAAACCGGCTGCCACCAGATATCCGCCCTGCATATCTCTTGAGTTTGGCAACAACGTAATTCGGGTCAGATGCTGGTAGAGGGAACGATGCTGGATCCATGAAGTATTTATCAACAGGATATATATCTTCGGAATGCACCTGTAGAAGTTCGACAACTCTATGGACAAAGTCAACGTAGGAACCCGGTAGCACTGTTTTCCCAGCTTCTTCGGAATTCTGCTTCATAGTTGCCATCATGGTCCGTATCATTTCCTGGTATGTTTCTCCGAATCCATTAGGAGCGTAGATTTGGGTAGGCGGAAGCTCGGATAGGTGCACCCGCATATTCGAGAGCACACATGAAATAAGGGAAACTCGCCGTTGACAGAAATCCGTCAACGTTATTTCGTATTTGCCGCTTGTTCGGTTGGCTGCGAATGGTAGGTTTCTGAAGAGAGGGTTTTTGTAATCTTCATTCAGGAGGGCGTTCATCAGATCATGTTGGTATTTCAAGAATAACTCGCGTTCCACAAGTGACGCACTCCAGTACGTTAGTATGTGAGGTCGACATTCTTCATAGGACGTTGGATCACTTGAAATCAACCGTGAAATAAAATACGGCATAAACTTGCGCGTTTGATCTGTCGATTTCAATGCCGGCCAGGAATCTTGGTCGTATCTATTGAAGTAGCTGCTCCATTGCCGCATACCATGCTGTACCCTAGCTTGAGCAACGGTCAACCAGCAATCGATTGTCTTCGTAAGAATTGAGTCATCAGGAGTCTGATCTACTCCAAAGCAAGTTGAGATAAACTGAGCAATTGCAGGGGCAATCGCACGATTCAAATAAGATGAGCTGGTACTGGAGACTTCTAACTGGTCCTGACATAGATCAAGCCAGTCATCTTGACTATCTTCATTAGTTTCCGATGGGTCAACTGGACCCTCAGCCGTGCTGACCGTTGCAGCAGTCCTGCTATCGGCTCTCGCGAAAGAATTCAAGACGTTCAAAGCCTGGAAAATTACCACATCTCGTCTTTTCACCGTAGGATTGAAAATCCCAAATATTCTTCCAAGAGGCATTTTCTCCATTAATAGCCCTGCTTGATCAGCATCTCTAGTCGCATCTATAGCTAACTTCATACAGGCGAGAGCATCGCTCATTAGAGATTCGGCGTGTCTCTCATTCTTCGCAATAGCACCTTCAATGTATTGACGGGGGAAAAAGGTGGCAGATGTGGCCTCTGCTTCTATTTCACTCCGAGCTTGAGAGTGTTGCTTCAATATTTCTGTGATAAAATCGCCGTGCCATTCTGCAAATTTGCCCATGTCCGCGGTATTTCCATCCTTGATAAGAGTGAATCTAGCCAGCCTTGACCAAGAGTGGATGTTGATGCTGCATGCATCTCTATGGGAAGTAGGAGGATGCACTAGACGTTGAATCATGGAAAGATGAGGCCGGGATCCTTTGGGCGAACAGCAGTATAATGCACAGAGAAGGTCATGATGATTTCTCAACGCATTCAAATCCTCCACGCGTAAAGGATTCTCTTTGGGGTATGTCCGGCCATGATTAGGTAGCAGACGCCAAACTAAGTTAAGCATCTGCTTTGGTTCAAGTAAAGTGTTCAAATACCTGAATCCTATCACGATGATTTTCAAGAACATGCGGAAGCAACTGTCTGACGTTTCAATCTCGAGTACTGGATCAGAATCAAGCCGTTCAAGAAACCGGGGTGACCCATGCACTGGCTCTTTCTCGAGGTCATACAGCGAGTTTCGGGTGAAGAAGTCAAAAAGCATCTCGAGGGCAGGTTTGCAGTGCCTCCAGCCCCAGCCTTTGATGAGAATAAAACAACGATGCAGAAGGGTACGTAAATAATTGTTTAATGAGATCCAGTGCTCTTTGGCGTTCGACCGGTATGATTCAAAGATTTTGGAAAGCAACTGTTTGACAACAGGCCACTGATCATTGTGTAGTTGAAACCGTAGCCCAGGTTGGAAAATGCCCAATTCGTCAAGCTCTTGAAAAGGGAGGGATATAAAAATTGCTTCCCAGGCTCGTTCTAGGTCTTGGATACTATGGTGAGGGAGAACCGTAGCCCGATCCAAAAACCGAACTTGAAGTCCCATGTCCTTGACGGATTTCTGCTGGAGTATGTGTTGAGCAATCACAAATGCATCGACGAATGGATAATCATCCCGAATGCCAGTTTCACGGATCTCCAGCTTTCTGTTATCCTCCAGGAATTGTTGAATGTTTCGTACACCAGCAGGGGTTAGGATGGAATCCATTACCCGTTGTGCTGAGAGCTTCATCAGCTCAACAACGGGTCGAACCCTGGTCAAGTCCATAGTTTCATGTTTTGAGACCTGTAACAATTGGTTTAAAAACACCAGGTTGAACATCTCAACCCCAGCCGCGAGAGCAGTTGTATTTACTTCATGGTTTGGGTTAGGTAGAAATGTCTCGGTTAGTTGAGAAACAAAACCAGTACACCTGGAAATGAGGCCTATGCGATCGACAGGATCTATGAAGCTCATATGCTCTGAAACATAGCAAATAATGTCCTGGTAAGGCCCCAGTACTTGACTTGGAAAAGTTGGTATAGCTCCCGCATCATCTCTTATTGAGCTGGTCTGCGATGCTATAGAAGTAAATAACTCCCCTAGCTCTGATGACACCGTCTCATTCCAGGGGCCCCATTTGTAAATTTTATCTATATGTCGAATAGTGCAATGACCATGGTCGATGTCTAAGTCTCGATATAGGCGTAGGGACCGGGAAAATTTTCCACTTCCAATGAATGTAGACTGGTGATAGTATGTGCCAATGTAGAGTGGATGAGTATCAAAGTCAATCTGGTACGGTCGTTCAGGGCGGTGTAAACCCGGAAGTACAGTGAAGCCGTCCTCTTCCGGACGAAAAAACGAAGCTGTGTCGCTAATCCCATTATCAAAGTCGGGGGGTTGGCGATATTCAACCGTTTCGACGTTTATATGCTTGGGCTGGCTCTTCTTTTTGGATATTCGCTGTTTCTTGGGTTCATTGTCAGGACGGCTCGAGATACTTTGTGGAATAGGAGCAGGAGCTTCTACTGTAGGCTGTTGCGGTTGTGGACGTTGCGGTTCATTCAAGAACCTTGTCAATGTTAAGGGTTGAGATGACGTCTTATATGCCTTACGTAGAGCTGCAAGGGTGCCATGGAACGTAGATGGCCGCTGAGGAAAGGGAGAGGGAATATCTTCAATATCTAGCTGCGCAGGCCTTGGAACATGTCGTTGAAAGGATGTTATGCCATATGGGCGTTGGACCACCCAATTATTTTTCTGGGTTTGCTGTCTTTTATTTGGCTTGGTACAGGATAAATGTTCAGTTGAGTTCTCGTCATCGTCATCGTCAATTATTATGGGTTCAGTGTTTCCCCCAGGTATCGATGAAGCCCGTATAGCGAGATTTCCAGATCCATCGTCTTCTCCTGAAATGGTTGGTGAAGGTTGGGCACTGGTTTGAGGCTTGGGTATCGTCCTCGGGCGTGCTGAGGTAATGCCAGGGGTAGGTTGATATTTTCCTCTCCTCCAGTTATGCAATGAGGCATTCGCATCACGCGTATCAGCCCTCGTTGCCAGTTTTAATACCTTGCGAGATGGACTTCGACGTCCCTTGTCTTTGCGTGACCGCGCTTGCCTAGCTGCAATTCGTAAGAATTGAGGCTGTGTATTCACAGATTGAGCCCGAACATCCTCCGAATCTAAGATACCCAGCTTTGGCGCTCGGGGTTTGCTAGGCTTGGATTTTCGTCGGTGGCCTATGGAATCGGTGATTCTTGTCTGCCGTTTCCTTTGAGGGTTTGACTGCCGGCTTGGCCTGGGTTCAGCATCAATTCTCTCTGAGGATTGGCCTTTGCGCTTTTCCCTGGATGACTTTTTTGACGTTGATCGACGCGAAGTTGGGGGTGCCATATAATCAATTCGATTGTCTTCTGGGATATCATCATCGTCAAATAATCCAAAATGACGCTCGAGCCGTTTTTGTTCAAGTAATTCCCGTTTCTTTTGCTGCTCTGATCTGGTTGGCGTGGCATCATCGTCAGACTCAGAATCGCTGAACAGATCGAAACCCCTTGTACGAGTAGGGGTCTCCTGCTGGTTCTCGGTCCTTTCCCGCCGCGATACAGGCTGTGCAACTCCCTTGCCGGTCCTTCGTTCCGGGTTCAAGGCTCTTCGACGCTCCCTCTCAACGGCTTGTTTCCTATATTGCTCATGCTTCCCATGATCAAGTCTGGCAAATGAAGCAGGCAGAACCCCCTTTATCCGGCGCTGTATATCTCGAATAATAGTTAAATCTTCCTCTTCCTCTTCCTCAGGACTATCGGATGAATGTCCGTAAGCAGGCTCTTCTGCGATTAGCGTGACGTCCTCTTCCTCAGGTTCAATCACCAATGAAGAGTCGCTAGAAATAATATCAGGAGGGCCCAATTGCGTTACTTTTTCAGAAACCGGGGTCTGCAGCTGATTCCTTGACAGGTTAGGGGCGAATCCAGGCGGAAATCTAAAAGTGTCTGGGTCTCTTGGAAGAGTAGAAGAGCCTTCTCCGGATGAGGGGGGAGAAGGAGGTACGTCGAAGATGTCGTATAACTTCTGTAGATCGTCCTGTTTCTGAGATTTTGGGCTGCTATTGGTATTTATAACAACTTGCAGCCTAGTCTCTGCGTTCTGGGTTGAGTTCCGGGAAAGATGACTATCCATAATATGAGAAATCTTACGTCGTTTGTTTCCCACCTTGTTAGGCCTGGTTGAACGAAGTTGGGAATTGGTATCATGGAGAACTCTCAACTCTTCTCTCTGCCTAGTTTGATCAGGGTCACTTAATGACTGGCTCAAAGCCGGCTGATCGTAATTACCAGGCGAAGAAGGCGGAAGGTAAGAAGGACTACTTGATGGAGGAACATTTTCATCCTGGGAGTCAAAGCTTTGACTTTCCCCCGTGTTGTTATGGGGTTGCGGCTCGTCATTAGGAATCCGTACAGGTTGCACACCTCTATTCCTCAACAGTGATCGATACTGGGCATTCTCCAGCATATAAGGATGCAGCTGAATTGCGTTTCGCTGCCTTAGTGCCCTCCGATGGCTCTGGTTCTGTAATTCCAAAAGACCAAGGTCATTCATGTCAATGTCTCCTTCATTAGGCTGAACAGTTTCCTGTTGCTGTAGCGGCAGGGTCTCGGTATCATTTTGTGGTGGTGCCAATGACGCTTCCCTGGAGAGAGGAGAGTTCAGAACTGGTGGTACAGATGATAATGGAGATGAGTTTAGGCTATCAAGAAGCATATCATCGTCTGGTACAGTCTTTTTGGCGAGGGGTGTATATGGTGGCTGCGAGCGGAATTCCTCAAATTGTAGCTCATCCGGAGATGACGGCGGTTCTAGCTGGGAAATGGCATTCTCGACATTTTCAGAGCCATCGGGTCTCCGCTTCCGTTCCTTGCTCGGACTCAGAAATGTTTGCAAGAGAGTCTGGTAATCCTGTAGCGGGTCTGTATCAAGATCCTCCTCGCTCGGGATCTGAGTACGCTGAGAACTTCCACCTATCCCACCCTCATCTTCCCTTTGGGTTTCTTCTTCAGCCACATCCCCTCCTCTATCTCCATGTTGCTGAATCTCACAGCCGGTTTCCTCAATGTTTGTACCGTCATCATCAGCAATCACTGGTCCACCACCACCAAGTAACTCCTGACTATCAAATTCTTCTCCTTCATCAGAGTCAGGAACATATCCGCGTTCACGCCATTGTTCCATTTGCAACACTCCATGCCTTTCACTCCATCAAGAGCAAGAAATCAGCGTCCAAAGGTCGAAAAATCGAACGGTCGAGGTTTGATTTCCTCAAAGCCCAAAAGCGCGTCGACGCGACTTAAAGTGGCAGATACCTGCTTATGTAATAATTATTTCTCTTTCAAGGTCACGAAATTCGCATTTTTAGTTGCGTATAGTTGAAGGAAGAATAACTATCGCTGGGGGAAAGGACGCTGCATTATATGCTCGTGCGATAATCGGTGACAAACAAGCTGGTTGTATAGCTAAGGATGGGCGGTAAAGCGGGGCTTGTGCCTATTGCTTTGGCTGTGGGCTTTGGGATTCTCAACGGTGAGATAGACCGTCGATTTGAAGCTGGTTGAAGACTACTAATCCCATATCATTCTGCAGGCTACTGGGTTTTCAAACCTGCTTTTGATGAGCGAGAGGCTCAGAAAATACTAGAGACATCGTATGTGCCGTAATATACCTGTGATTCATCGCTACAGCGGCTAATGACTACATCAGGCCAAAGCAAACCGAGCCTACATATTCACGACAGATATTTAACTGGTGGGCTGGGAACAGCCCAACAGATAAAACAGGACAGCAGAAGTGAATTAGTTTCGAAGAATGAGTTATAGAAGCCGATTATTCCTCGATGAGTAGGGGTCTATACAACACTCCCATCCGGCCACCTGGGAAGCTGAAAACTACACCCATTCGTTGTGTGGAAGTGTAGGGGGATAATCGGGATATACGGGTGTACCTTTCCAGCAGGGTTTATAAGGGCAGTACCCTGGAGTCTGGTGCCTGGGACTTGCATCAATCCAAGAGTCATTGGTATATGATGGTGGTAGGATCAAATGGGTCGCGGCTTGAAGACAAAGGCGGCAAGATCTTTGTTTGATGCGTAATATGTAGGATATATGAGACAGCTACTGTAAATATTCTCAATGATAATCATACAGATCTGTATGAACTAAATTAATATGACACTATAAGCTACAGCCGATAAGTGAACGCCATACCCCAAAAGCAGCGACTGAAACCTCGGCACAATACCATCAACGAACACCATATCCTATAAAGATTCTAGGCTATGAGAATAGGATGCTTGCTAGCAAACCGATACCAGTTCAGGTGAGATTTATACCTATATCTCTTCAACAAGTTTCCCGGTATGAGTGGCGGGGTTATTGGTCGGGTTACCGAATATGTTACCGGCAGGGGTACCGAGCCATTCATTCGGAACCCCGATGCGATAGCCATTCTGATTGATAACGTATCTAATCATGGTTGGATCTGGTTTCTCAGGCTCCTGGGGTTCTTGTTGACCTGGGGTGCTCTCCCCAGCAGCTTCAGCAGCACTGATCTTGCCACGGCGTTTGGGAGCTTGTTTCTTCAGCAGTTTGTTTATAGTATCCATCTGAGGGGTTGTTAGTTTCCGAATACAGGGCTTGGAGTTGAATTCGGTGAAAACATACCTTTTCTTCCTCGTTGCGCTTTTCACTGAGGTTCTTCCTTCTTCTTGCCATCTCTGCCCGGCGCATAGCGTGTTCTTCCGCAGTTAGATGTTTCTTAACTTGTGGTTCTATTCCTTTGCTGTTAGCTCATTGAAAAATGTCATATGCAGTGGGGGTAGCCCATACCCATTGGTAGTTGCAAGAAATCACCTCCAAGCTCGATACGGCCACGCTGTCGTCTGGTCATCTTGCTCAGATCAGGGGTGCTCGACCTGCTTCCACCCATGAGCTCTTCATCAGATTCATCCTCTTCGTCCTCCTCGTCCTCCGGCTCATCATCATTGGTTTCAAGTCCCATGGTATCATCTTGTCCGCCAATATCATTGTCAGATTCCAGTTCGGAGAGTCCTTCTTCCTCGTCGTCTTCTTCGTCATCTTCCAAAGCAGCCCTTGAATCTGCCTTTCTCGCTTTTGCGGTAGCTGCAGGTGTGACTGTAACGGTGGGTCTGGTAGCCGCCTGTTTCGCGATGGGAGACACAGGAGGAGCATCATCCATATCGATATCGCCCTCGGCATCGATATCAGGCTCACCATCAGCATCCAGGTCCGAATCACCTTCCGCATCAATCTCATCGTCTTCTTCATCTTCCTCGTCTCCAATCTCAGAGGGGTCATCGTCCTCGTCAGAGTCTACTTCCACGACTTTCCTCTTAGACCGACTGTTCCTAGGACCAGTCATGATGACATTTTCTGTAAAGATGTTACGAGGCTTGTCAAACCCGTCTTCCCCATTTGTCACTTCACGGAGCTTGCTTCCCGGCATCTTGACAGTGAGTCGGATTGGTTTCCTTCTTCCTTCAGGAGAGGTAGATGGTGACCGAGAGAGAGTCACTGTTGCTATTCTTGTAGAGCTGTTCCTGGTAGATCGTCTCGGCCTTGATGTCGCGCCGGTAGAGCCTGTGTCCATAGTTAACTTGGTGACACCAGCACGAGAGCGAAGAGAGCGAGTAGAAGGCATCTTGGGTATATTTGATATCGGCTTGCTGGCAAGAAGGGGAGAATTTGCTATCTTCTGTGATGGATGGGTGTAACGGTGAAATGGAAGATGAGGTAGAGGTAGACGAAGAAGAAGAAAAGAAGAAGTGTTATGCAGATAAACAAGTTATATAGAGTGGGCGGCGACTTCTACCCGCGGTGAATACCCCTTTCTCTAGCATGCTGGCAGGAGTTCCCGCGGAAAGACAGCAGAGGGAAGATGCATACATGTCACGACTATTGGCCATTCTCCAGTCTGAAGAACAAGGGTGGGAAGACAGAAAGCGAGACACGCTCAGTATAAGCGTCAAAGGCCAACTTGAGCTTCATCAGCCAAATTAAAGGAGGCCGCCTGGCTTGCCCGTCTATCCTTGCAATCCCCATCTCAGAGTGGCCATCTTGGCGTGTACTGTTGGATATGATTGATGAGAGACGTAACTCCCAGCCAGCCAGCCAGCCAAAAGAAAAGGGAGAGGACAGGAGTGAGTTCCGCAGTGGGGGAGACGAGACAGCAGGGAAATCAGAGTAATCTTGTTGCTCAGGCCGTATATACGGGAATATAAGGTGCGTTATAAGTCCTTACCTGCGAGTTATATGCTATGCTATGGACGGGTTTAGAGCAACTGAACGGTGGCTGGCATCACTACTGGAATCCGTGTCGTGGTAGTACGGGCGCTGGGCTGGCAGTGAGCTTCTTCCTGTGGGCGCAGACGCTTGACTGGTCTCTTGCTGTGCTGGTCATGGATCTGATCCGTCCGTCGTTGGGGATGCGACTGGAGGAAAGACGAGGGCCGCTGGTCCGCCACAACGCTGTGAGTAAGCTGGTAGCTAGCGAATCGCCGCAGGGGAAGTTATCTGGCTACAGGGGAGTGTCACCAAGCAGCTTGACTACTCCTTTGCGTCCTCTATCCAAGAGCAATGCAAGATATCAAATCGTCAACTTTGCATCTATTTTGCTCCTCGAGATTTCTGAGGTTAAAAATTGCCAAAATCAGACGTTTGGTGATGTATTTTGCGTATTCGTAAGATACAAAAGTACATTAGTCACCGCCAAATTTTGCGGGGAAAGGAGTAGCCTCAAAGTATTACAGGGGAAATACCAAAGATACGAGCCGAGGTAAAAGTTGCTCAAGCTTCAGCTGCTTTCATGTAAAGACAAACGACACGAGAAGCAGACGAAAAGAAGACAGACATAACGACAGGCAAAAGACGCTCAGGAGAAGACGAGGAGTTACGGCAGCTCAACCCCTACGTTAGATTTCTATACAGCAGACAAAAGGCAGCATGGCAGGACCAAAAGGCGCTACGATACCGAGCTGGCAGCAGGCGACTTCAGACAGCAGCAACACAGCCACGAGCTCAATAGCAAAGACGGAGAGCAGGGAGACACTCCTCGAGCAGGCCAGGCGGTTTCTGCAAGATGAATCCATATCTGAGGCGTCCACGGACAAGAAAATTGCCTTCCTCGAGTCGAAGGGGCTGTCAAACGACGAGATACATACCCTACTGGGTGTGTCCAGAAACACCGAAGCTACGGGCAGCACCAGCAACAAGACCGCCAACGATAGCTCGACGGAAGAACCAGAATCGCAGTCTACTAAAGAGACGTCTGAGAAATCCTCGAGTCAATCCACGCAGTCTCCAGCGACCGCGACTGCTTCATCATCACCAGCACCAGCACCAAGCAAGGACGTGCCTCCGATCATAACATACCCCGAATTCCTCCTACGGCAATCTAGGCCACCACTTATCACATTCCAGAACTTCCTATATACACTATACGGCACCGCTGGTATCGCAGCCAGCATCTACGGTGCAAGCGAATACCTCGCCAAACCGATGCTAGAGTCATTAAACTGTGCTCGACATGACTTCTCCCAGACAGTACAGGGGAATCTCAAGACATTCAACGAGAAACTTGAAGGAAGCGTGTCAAAGGTGCCAGATGTATTAACGTCACGGCCAAAGCGGATATCAATGGATTACGGAAGCGAGTATGATAACGAATCAATTACATCCGACCCTACAGAGCTGTTTCATCGAGATATAGCTACACAAACGACAGGCCTGCAGACCCCTGCTCCCTCGGAGACAGCGGTAGGAACAGAAGTACAAACAACATCGCCGCAAGTTGTGATAGAACAGCATATATCTTGCCTACAGTCGCTTTCTTCAAGCCTGGGCAGTCTTGTTACGGCAGAGAAGTATAGTGATAGCACACAGGGCGATGCAAAGGATCGACTGTCAGAGTTACAAACCTACCTTGATAGTCTGACATATAGCGCGCCGTTATATCTGACCTCCTCGTTGTATGGGTCGTATGACGACTCCGCTGATGCGAAGAAGGCAAATGGTGAGGATGAGGCTATTGCAGCGTTCAAGGCGGAGGTCAGAAGCGTTAAGGGAACCCTGTTGAGCGCGAGGAACTTTCCGTCTAGTAGCGGTGGATTGAGGCGGTGATCAAAGTATATCTCAGAATAGACTTGTGTTATCAGTAATGACTTTCTTATGTTCTAAATGATATTCTGTATTTCAAAGTAACTGGGAAAGGGTATCTGATACTTCATTTAGATAATGATGATGATGATAATAATAATAATGATAAAAATGCAGAGACAGGTTTCCAAGTTAAGCCAAATAAACAAAAAGCAAGGTAATTAAGGCTTCCATGCCTTGATAGAAAAATGCGCTTGTAACCAAACCCCCCCAAAGGAACCAACTCCAGGGACACCATGATAGAGTACATAGGGAAAACAAGGAATTAAAGAAAAGAGGTCCTCCTGGTAATCATCGTAGTCAAATCACAGCTCCATCAACTCAGTTGGAGGACGAGAGGTATGTGCTAATATCCTTTTTGGGTGAGTGTCAAGGGGGCTCAGGTCCATATCGGAATCCATATCAGAGCCAACCGAAGTATCCTCAACCATGACAGCTGGCAGGTTAGGACTGCTGCCATGGTGCTCGGGGTGGTAAATCAAGGTACTGCTCCGACTCCTCTGTCCTGATCCGGTGCGAGTAGATTCCTTCACGTCCATACCCATGGCTGTAGCCACTTCCGTGGGAGAAACAGGCGTCTCCGGTCGACGGCCAGACTCGTTAATATGGCTATCAGACCCGTAGAACCGACCGAGTCTGCCCAACGCATCAGCCAGATCAGAGGCATGAACCTCCTTGTTTGGCGGCTCCTCGTTGCGCATCATCCATCCATGTGGAGGGCTGGGTGGTGGGCTAATAAAGAACATCTTCTGAGACTGGGGGGCTTCAAGAAGCTTGCTGCGTCGAATCTCTTCCGTGTCTGTCTGGATAGGTGTCTTTTCACCAAAGTATACTCTTGCTCGGCCTTTGCCCTGCAGCGGTGCTCTGTCCAGCAGCTGACGGACTTTGATAGCATCATCGGTGTTCAGGAACGAGCAGACTATGCGTCTGAAGGATGGTAGAGGGGAGAATGAGTTTAGCGGCGCCGTGGCAGTGATATGAGCCTTGATAGAGTCGAGAGAGCCTGGCTGGAAGAGCGAGAGGTCGTTTAGGTCGGTAATAAGGAGGGTATTTGATGGGGGCGATGGTTGCTGCAGTGGAGGCACTTCGATCGATAGTGGCAGGCCGCGGCGGCCGCCAAGTGAGCGAGGAGAGCTGCTTCCGGACATCTTGGTCGTCTGTCTGTCTGTCTGTCTAATCTTTTTCTTCTTCTCCTACCCGGGTATCCTGCTGAGGTCTCTCCTTTATATGTGTTTTTTGGCTTGCGTTGCGGTTGTTGTTATGTTGCGTGAAGTTGGAAGAAGCAAAGCCGGCTTTTGGTCCCGTGACTTGATGTTGGAAATTGGAGAGAGAAAAACATCAAGAAAGTCGAAAAACCTGAACCTCAACGACACGTTTAAGTATCTCGAAGCCAGCAGCGAGCCAGGAACCGGCTGAGACCGCAGTCGACCAGCCTAAGCGCCACCGCGTTTCGTTCAAGGCGTGAGGAGACCAGCTGGGCTCTCGGTGACTCCATAGAGCGTGAAGAGTTTGCTCAGCGCTAAGCCTGCACAGCCCGCTCGCCGCGCAGTGTTGACCTCGACCGCATGGCCTCCCCCTTTTCTTGCCGGCTGGCGCAGCAGTCAGAGATTTCTCCTCCCTCTCTGCCTGCTGGCCAAGCTGGAGGCATGACTATGGCTGAGCTGGCTGTTTAATCTCCATGACACAATGTGGAATCGCCGCTCCGGGTCCCCCCCTGTTGATCTGATATGGAGGCGCGGATGTGGCGATCATCGACACCTCGGCCTGAATCTCTTCTCTTTTCGAGAAGATGCCAGAGTGCAGAATTGTTGAGGGCTGTGTCTGCTTTGTACTGGCCGCCTTATGCCTACGGATTGCGTCTACTCCGGAATCCGGGCATAATTCGACAGCTACGGGCCCCCGCAAAATACGTTTATATGCCTGCATTAGGCTGATGGAGGCTGTTCTGGAGAAAAATGCCGCGAAAGGCGGGCTATGAATAGATCCATTGATGTTGCGAAGAGCGAAGCCCGGGAGGCACCCAGCCCTCCTTGAGATAGAAATGGAAAGCTGAGTAGGCAGACAGATAAAACGGATTTTATCCCGAAGGAATATAGCATTATCTCCGCAGACGGATGGTGATGGCGTATTATGTCTACGTATTTGGAGGCTGTTCTGTTCGTCTGAACAGCCATCATCACAGGACTGTCTCCCCGAGAACAGTAAGGTGCCAGCTGTACTCTTGCAACAGTGCCTGGCCTGGCATGGCATAGCGTGTCCGTCCGCCCACTCGTCCGTCCATCAGTGACAATAGCTCACCGACAAGTTATTTAGTTAATTTACGGACGGGATGGAACAGCAGAACTGCACATACCCATGCTTACTCCCCAAGCGAAATCAGGATCTTGCCTCATTCGAGGTACCTTTTATATATATCTTTCCCCCCTTTTTGCTATTATCCGTCATTCACTGCAGCACTACGTCGGGCAAAGCTACATCTCTTTTTAAGACATACATTTTATTTCCTCCCTTACATCAATTCTGATGGATGCCTGCCGTTAGTACGACACACGGGGATGTCTTGTTGCCATAGCTTCTCGACGGGGCAGCTGTGCTGCGAATTTTCGTCGTGCAACCAGTCGGTTTTGTTACTTCTGTACATCCCATTGAACACAAGCCTGTGCCATGAAGTCACACACGCCTTTCGAAACTCTTAATTCTACTACCAGGGGCTATAACCCGTCACCGCTTGACAAACTTGCTGGAAGCAGGCTCGTTCTTTGGGCATCACATATACTCCGTATACCCCCTTCGTGTAATTGATGGGTGCCCGGTATTCGGGTCCTTTTCCATTATACCATTCTACTGTTCATTTCTCTGGTTTTATTCAAGTTGTGTTTTCTGATACCCGTTCGGTGAAGAAAGTTTCTCCTTTCTTCGGGGTCAAATGCGACGGGCTAATATCCTCAGCGTTCCTGCATGAGAGGTACATACCCTCGGGGCGGGCACCATCCCCAGTGGGTAATGAGAACGTTAGACACTTACTTCAATTTTTGCCCTACATTTGAGGTGGTGCAACAACAACGTGTTCTGAATGCATATCATATATTCGTTGCATGCGCTGAAGTCAATCCCGCTATGCTAATTAACATCACATGCGATATCCCGTCATGACAGTGGTTGTGTCTCCATTCTTAGAAGCAAATCTCTGGATTAAATTGAAGTATTGTGAGAATTGAACAGCTAACAAGGTGCATCTTCCCTTCTCCTTGGCTGATGTTGTGAAAGTCGGCGAGCTGTTATCCTTGTTTCCTCCGTTTTTTCTTTTCTTAGTCCTTCCTTTGAATCGGTCTAGTCCAGTCGAGTCGGGAGGAATGAGAGCCCATAGGCCCGCCTCACTTAGCAATATCCCGAATATACGTGCCCATGCAGAGCAAAGGAAAGGTCTTCACATCTTCCGTCTTGAGGTTCCAGTGCATTCAGTCTCTTCCCGATCAATTGAACAGACCTGCAGATTGCCCTACAGATCAGGCATCCGTGAAGAATACCATCTGACCATTACCAATAGTGGACATGCTATGTTTAAATATAGATACCAAAGTGACGTCCTCCCTTTCCTCCTCCCCCTTCTCTTCTTTAAATACCCCTTGAATGAACTGAACAAGTCCTGATATCTGGCTCAATTTACCACACGCTCGTCAAGACTTATACATTGCACATTCACGGAATACCAAAACGCAACGCAACCACTTCAACATCTGGCAAATTACACTTAGCCAAAAAGCTCCCCGTTCAACGCTTCTTTCTATACTTAATTTCCCAATCTACCCTTCCATCCAACTTACCATGTGTCAAAAGGCCTTTTACATCCACGTCTGCAACCACCGAAGCTGGGGCCCCCTTAACCGCTGCGAAAACCGCTACGTCTGTCCTGAAGCAAACACACAATACTACCCTGTGTATCTCACCAGCCCATGCCGATTCTGTCGAACATCCCGTCGAGGAGGCGGCGATGCCGGGCGAGGTCGAGGTCGAGGGGGGAGGGCGACTCAATCTTCCCAGACGCATGCCCAGGCGCAGAACAGAACCATACCATCGCCAATGGTCCAATCCCACCACCATCCAGCAGGTCATCCATCTCTACACGACGCTGGGGAACCAGGGTCATCGACTTTACCACCACCGCTGCCAGTAAGGATGGGCCGTGGTGGCATGACTCCGAGGGGGTTTTATTAGGAACAAACAAACCTTCCAGAGACTTCGAAGGTCCAAATATCGTCTTGTAATAGGCCCCTTATATCTCTCACCTCCCCCTTGGGCCTTGTTTCCATGCTAACGTTGAAAGTCAGATGGATGCATGATGGGTTGGCGTGGGGACACAGAGATGCAACGGGACTGACTGCTCACACTGGGGATGTCCCTGGTATGGTATCGGCCTTGCTGGATACAGTACTTTATCGTGATTTTACTCTTTTCTACCTTTCTTTTAACCCTGCCTGTCCTTGAGGTTATTAACTGCCTGTACGCGAAGAAATTATCAAAAGCCGCTTTAATCAAGATCTCTTTCCTCCAATTAATAGCCTGAAATATCCAGTAACTATCAAAAATAAAATAAAAAATAATTAGCAGGAGAAATTAATTAAATTAAATATCCAAACCTAAGCTAAGCATCAATCCTAAAATATTGTAAGCGCATTAATCCATTGACTGATCCTGGATCAATATCCACCGTCCGTCCAATTTCCTCTACATTTCCACAGCAAACAGCTCAGACTACTCCATACTCCGTACACTCCATCCGTCTCCATTCTCCATCTGCTTAACTGGCTAGTTACCGCCTGGCTTCCATCTCCGCGCGGCGATGCGCTCCGCGGCAGGCGTACGGAGTAGTACAAGCAGCCTGCACGTAGCCGCCTCGACGGTCAGTCGGGCTCCCCTTTATACACGCTGCATTCATATACCAGCGACAAAAGCCTTACCGCAAGTTTGCAAGTCGCACTGAGAAACATCGCTTTTCTTTTTCTTTTCTAAGATTCGCATCCAGGGGAAATGCACGAGGGCCAGAAGGGAAATTATATAAGTGGTTGCCCTGCCGAAGGGCATATATCAAACGCGTTGATATTGCTCATGGCGGCCTTGGGAATGAGAGAGGGAGAAGAAGAGCTCTCTGTCCAAACAAACTGGATATAGCTAAACGAGGGCAAGCCCATTGGCCCTGTGTTGACGGATAATTAATCGCTTATTTCAGATATATGATTTTCTTATATGCCCAGGGGTTGTTTTGGCTGGTCTGGTCAGGGTTGGCCGGCATGCTTAGCTCGCACAGGGACAGACAGGCAGGCAGACAGGCAGGCAGATCAACACAGCAGCCAGGCTAGGAAGACAACGAGGAAGGCAAACGGTTACTGAAAACGGTTGCTGGGGTCGTCGTTCGCTTCGAGATGAAGAATCATATCGCCATCGAAGGCGCTGCTCCATGTACACCACCAACTAACTACTCCGTACGTAACTAACTAGGTACTTAGCAGATCGGCTGGCTGGTTAGACCAGAAAGGACTCTCTACGCGCCCGGATATCGATCCTTCTGGAGGCATAGAATACGCACAGAGTACATGTGTACACAGCTCAGCTGGTCACTGAACAGGAGTTCATCTGGAAACGCCCGCCTTGGACTTCCGTGCTGGTGTGTACGGAGTTGCTCTTCGTATACGGTGGAGAGGCCATCAATTGCCAAAACAACTTCGGAGTACGACTTCTGTTGCTGTTGGCAAACCAAAAGGAAGAAGAAAAGAAGACACCAAGATTGGTCCACATTTTCTATGTTTCATCAACGCCTCTACCTTATCTAGAACTCTATGGTTCGCATGAGCTACAGCCAGGTGGAAGATGGATCAAGGGGCACATAGTTCACGCTGCAAGGCGACAAAACGGGCCATGGAAGCTGGAGCTGTTCTCTTCCCTCGAGCTTCTGTGGAACTGACAGGTTCCTTTTTCCTGACATAAACGGGCCATCTATATGGTATACGAACGGGTTTATATATGAGAAACCTGTTATGTTGTGACCTGTCAAACAGACAAGTCTCCGGGGAGAGGAAAGCGATCAGAGCCAGCAAGACCGAGAGCAGTGGATGAGGCTGCCTCGAAGGGTTGGCAGTCACACTGGGACAGAGATCCCTGGTTAAGAGTTACGGAGTAAACCTGTTGCACACCGTTCATGCAGGTCTCAAAGCTCGTTTTGACCATCTGGCTTGTGTTAGGATAACCCCTGAGAGGACGACGCCATTTTTTGCGAAGGAGTGATTCTACCAGCGCTAAACTCGGGGTATGGCCTTCGGAGCAGAGCAAAAGCCGCCTCGTTCATGGGGATCCCGAAGAAACACGGTATTGAGCTGGAGTGGCAGACGAGATGCTCCAGTTTACGAACGTTTTCTGGTACGAGGAGTGACGTGAGGGTTTGGATGATTCTTAACCCGAAGCATGCTGATGTTGCATTTCCCAAGCCTATCCTGGGTCGTCCAACAGGGATATTCGTTGTTCTCTTTTGCCCCGGAGCAAGAGGGGAAAGCTTCGAGTTGGTGAGGATTGGCGCTCCCGGTAGCTGTTTGGTAGCCCCTGGTCCGCTACTTAGTGCTCCCGTCTTGACGGAGATTGCCGGTGTGTTCGTGGATAACGGGTGGTTTCTCCTAGCTCCCTCTTCCCCCATTTCGGGTCGGGCAGGCTGTGGTCCTCCTCGCCGGGAGAAAAGGGAGGAAGATTCATGCTGTAAAGAACGTGTGGGCGGCGATATACATGGAAGCCCACCAGATCGATCGTGTATGCATGCAAGCTGGGGGGATCAACCGTTGTTGCTCGCCATCGCTTCGTTTAAGGCCCACAAATGGGCGAGCACGAGAGGTGGAATTAAGATGCCTGCAAGGCGTGCGGTCGAGTTGTATCCCGAGTATACATACGGACTACTTCGAGATATGTACATACCCCGTCAACGGAAGACCCAGAAATCCGTTTTCCGAGCAGCAGCAGACCTGCCAGACAGGCTTGACAGCGGCACAGTTTTCTCCATCGCGTTCCCCACGGGCGTCTCAGCCTTCGAGCGATCCTGATAGTGAAATACTATGATGCTCTTGAGAGGCACGGGAACGGAACTAAACTACCGACCAATTTGCACAAGTTAAGAGAGTACGAGGATTTAGCTGCCTCTCTCGAAAGCACATCCATCCACCTTATCCCGTCCAAGCAGTGAGATCCATGGCCAGACTCGCCGAATATCAAGCAAATCTCGCCCATGCGGTCGGACCACTCGCATTGAGTGTATCTAAACGACCCCCTTTTCCGCAAATCACCATGCGCGAACTCCAGATTTCCAGGGCCCGCCGTGAATGATCACCCTTTCTTATTTTTTCTCATTTATGAGACGACTCGAAAGAAACCTGCTGGAGCTGCCTCTCTCGTCTGATGCAATTGTGGAATAACTAACTGGAATGGCTCGGTACCCGGCAGTTGATAACAATCAGGCTCGCTCTCCACGTCCCACGTGTGAGAAGATCAGGAATCTTCGTCGAATACCTTGAAGGCGCTAGAAGGAAAACACAGATCGTCGTTTCTGGCGTTCTTCACACATTCTATCCCGTTGTCAATGTGGGAGGCAGGATGGGTACGCAAGCCCCCCGGTAACCTATAGGGCAGGACAGGATTCTCAGAAAGTATCCCCACAAAGTAATATATACGACAACTCTTTCGACACGTATAATTTAACTGATTAGTTATATCATTTTACCAACTCTAACGAATAAACTTGATATACTCGAGCTATATTTATGCGCGCACTGCTGTTCCATGGGCCGCCGGGTGGCGTACAGAACTGAAAAGCAACCAAAAGGCCAAAAAAATCAGTGCTTTTACGGAGGAATTGAGAACCAAATTCAATATAAGAATACAAGATTCAAGGACCGAGAGCCCAGGACCAGGACCAAGGACCCGGCTATAGTCGGTTTGCAAAAGCGCGAGGGCAAAAACGTGGCCATCCAGGTTATCAAAAAGAGTGACTGGGATGGGTTCTTCGAGGGTTTTTGTTCTTTTTTTTTTTTTTTCAACGTTAACAATGCTCGCCCCCTTCTCAGCCAAGGGTTGGCTCTCTATCCCTTGCAAATGGGGAGGATATTTCAGAGGAAAGACAGGGCAATGAATTGAATTATTCCATGCATAACTATCCAGGCATATACTTGCGTTCGGTTGAGTGACCGAAGCCCAAGCAGTCAGTAATTGAAATAACTAGAAACGGGATGCAAGAGTGTCTCTCTCTCCCTTTCTCTCTCAACGCCCCCTATTCCGAGATTGGCCCCTGGCGCTACGCCCGCCTGTCTATCACCGTGGGGATCAAGTCAACCAGTCGATTCATGATCAAGAAGCAAGCAAGCTAGTTTTCTGGAGCATCTCAGCACCTCTGCTGGACGTGCGTCAGGTACAGCGAAGCGACGAGATGGGGGGGGAGCAGATCGGCCTGGGAGGTACCTCTCCACCCCCTTTTTCTCTGCCCTCGGTATATTTGCTTATTCCCGGTGAACAATCAGAGCCCGCCGACAGCTCAGATCTTCGCTCGCAGCTCGCATTCTCCTGGTGACCTCGTCACGATGTGCATACGCAGTTTTGTACTGCCTTGCTGGAGAGGCACACTAGAGCAAGCCATCTAGCCCCGAGGTCCGGTGATGAGGCGTTTTGGCTCCCCTCTCTCTGCAGCTGCAGGCAAGGGAAAGGGCTGGCAGGGATATTAGTACCCTAGAGCGAGCCTTTTACTTAAGTCGGCTCGACTATGGGGGCACACGAAGGATGGAGACACGATGCTCGACGCAACTCCTCTTCTCAAGCGTCATCAACAAGGGTCTCTAACACTGACTTCCCCCTCTGCCACTTGCCCACTTCTGCCTATGCTTGCTCTCTCCCTCTGTCTCTCTCTCTCTGTGTCTCTCTATCCGCCTTGACCTGCCCTGACAAGGCGATCCGCTAGGCCTCCGGCGTGCAGTGCCAATTTCAAGGATCTCTGGACGCAGAATCGTGAAATAAATGAATGTGGAGCTTTCGCATGGGCAGGATATCGTTGAAACATCGTGAAGGCAAGAATATAATTAAAGATAGCCATAAACGGCCTTAACAAGATCCACTATAGCTCCTCTGCTGGCCGGGGTTCTCTATTTATTCAACAAGGGCAATGGCTGTCTGCGAACAATGGATAGACGACTTCGATGTCCATGTCGGCATCAACAATATAATCGCAAAGGACACCTCCCCAAAGGTATATCAATATTTAACCGCCTTGCCCTGACATTCCTGCTTCTCCCTTCGACTCTTCTTCCTCCTTTCCTCCTTCCTTCCCCTACTGCCTTTCATCGAGATTGGTCTCTGACGAGTTTCGCTTCCTCAGATTACCTATGAGCCACCGGAATTGGCCAGGCAGAGTATAACCGACAAGCTGAAACTGCAATTCTGGCCACCTGCCAAACGGTTATCTACTGCCTCTGCGAGCTCGAGAGGACGAACTCCAGAGTCCTCCAGTTCAGGAAGATACATATACATCGGTCCTAATCGCGATAGGTTGGCCGCTGGTTCTCGCGAGTCGCTGCTGACAGTATCTACAAACCGGTATTCAAAACCCATGGATTCACGTATGTCCCGCACCTGATAACATGGCCTTTTTTCTTTTTCTCTTGTTTATCTCCTTGCCCTCTCTTTTTCGGTTCCTTAGCGGGAAATTGATGCCGATGTTGTTTTGGAGCCGGTTAACTAATTTAGTGCGTTTGCAGCTACGATACCGGGATATTTCCCGAGCCGTGAGAGAGCTCAAACTGCCCTAGGGTTTTCCCGGCCATCATCCTCCAGAGCTCGCGATCATTCACCCCTGGGTTTCCCAGGTTTCTGCGAAAGGCGCACCAGACAAATGGGAAGCAGCTGCAACACATCCAGGGAGTCGCCGAGTCCACATTCAACGGGAAGAATTACTCCTTCAGGTAGCCAGTCGATCATGGCACAGCATCAGCAACAACCTAGAGCCCGGCTGCAACGCAAGCGGAGTCCGACCAAGGCTGAAATCGAGGGTATCCCTCCCAAGGTGCCTCCAAAGACCGAACCTGCAGTGCCCAAGAAGGACAAAGTAAGCTCATCGAGTTTCTTTGGTCGAGGTGCGCCCAGGAACAGATACATAGAAGCGGTCCATTCAACTTCTGCCCCGGATCTAACTCACCTACGAGGAGGTTCAACCTCAAATTTGCTGCTGGAAAAGGATCGGCCGGCAGACCAGCTAGCAGAACTACCACAATTTTCCCAAAGATACCATGACAGACGACCAAAATCATTGAAGATACTAGGGCTAGATGCCACACGGCGACCAGAGAGCCCTACACCGGGCGAGAGCGATGATGTTCCGCAAGAGCTTGCCATACGGGAGAAGCCGTCGAAGAAGAAACCTCGGGGGAGGGTAGGACTGGAGAATATTGATATTCCGGTCGGAAACCTACCGCCGGGGTATTCTATCCAAACAGCTTCTATGCTGTTGACCCATCAAGAAATTGAGGAACTCCAAAGTCAGGCACGGCGAAGGGGCCAGAGATTCGAAGTCCTCAAGTACAGCGAGGTATCTTCTCTCACACAGGTAGGCGAAATTCCCGGTATCCACCAAAAGGGGAGAAAGAAACATTCCCCGCTAACAGAAGACCAGGAAATGCATACACTTAATAAACACTGCAAATACCTTCGAGACACCCATGTTGCTCTCCGATCAGACAGACAGCGTCTGCACGGCAGAGTGATATCATACCTCAAATCCGCCAGCGGCGTCTCCAGCTTTTCACCCGAGGGCGTCCTCAAACAAGAAGAAGCACTGCTAGAAATCGATCAATCAATAGACGAATGGGCGACCAAACTCGAATACGCGGAAGAGCGACGAGCAAAGATCCAGCAGAAACTATTGGAACACATGGTCGCCATTCTTAACTTGCCACAACCTGCTCCAAAGGAGCCCTGTCACAGCCGAAGCATAAGCGATTATACCAGCGTCAGCGAAAAGGATAGCCGACGAAGTGACCTCGAATCAATCATAATATACGCCGATGCAGGACTCCATCGATCAAACACCGATAAACCGTGGATATGATCACTCCTTTAATCATCCACTTTCTTTGCACATAACCACTTTTCCTTTTTTTTTTTCAACTTCGATACCATCCATCCACTTTGAACCGGACTAAGCGGGCATTCTCCCACCACACATGGGTTGGCGGTGCTAACTCTCCACGCTCTCTACCAAAAAGGCATTTCGTTCGGCGTAATATATTTATTATTTGTGATCATAGGATCATAGGCATCCCAATAGGAATCATAGGACTCTGGGATAGGGACCTTTCGGAAAAGGTATTTGCCCTTCTTTTTCGGGCCACTGGAAATAGACCATATACCCTTGGACAAGCGATATCTTTCTTTGAATAGTTATAACATAGTCATATAATACATTTTATAGGAGGGGTTTAATCAACGAGTCTTTCTTCCCAGTCTTCCGTCTCAGTTTTCTTTTTGATATCAAGTTGTTGATTTAAAGATTGAAGAAAACCTTAAAAACCCCAAGCAAGCTCGGAACGGGAAAACGTGACGCCGCCAAGCTTTGCGCATTTTCAGCTTTTTCTTGCTGTCAAATTTCACGCTTCAAGACGTTCAATTCATTTTCACAAACGACTCGACCTAGCAGCTTTCTTTTCTTGATCCTCTTGTTGCAATTGAAGCGTGAATAGACAGAGATATCTACAAATCCGTCATCATGTTCCGCAGAGCTCTCCTCAGACAAAGCCGGCTTGCCGGTTCCGCGACTCCCTCGTCCATCGTCTCCCCCATCCGCAGACAATCAGCCATCATCCACCAGTCCCAGCAGCTAGCAGCACGATCGCTCCCTTCCAGAGTACAGAGCAGATACGCCTCGACGGAAGCTAATGGAGACAAACCCAAGGCCGAAGAAGCTACTGAAGCTGAAAAGCCATCTGAACTCGACACATTAAAGAAGGATCTAGAAGCACGTGAGAAGGAAGTGGTTGATTTGAAGGTACGCTGCATCCTCGAGATGATATGCAGATTTCATGCAATTGATCAGGACTAACTCTACCACGGTAAATTTAGGATAAATACCTTCGATCTGTCGCAGATTTCCGCAACCTGCAAGAGCGAACTCGCCGAGATGTCGAGGCTGCTCGTACCTTTGCTATCCAGAAGTTTGCCGGAGACTTGATCGAGTCAATTGATAACCTGGAGCGTGCCCTTGGAGCCGTTCCCCCAGAGAAAGTTGACGCTGCCAATGCAAAGGAGAACAAGGACGTCTACGACCTGTTCTCTGGCCTGAAGATGACCGAGGGTATCCTCATGAACACTCTCAAGAAGCACGGCGTTGTCAGATTCGACCCGTCCGAGCCGGTTGATGGTCAACCCCAGAAGTTTGACCCTAGCAGACACGAGGCTTTGTTCATGTCCCCAATGGAGGGCAAGCAGGACGGTGATATTATGCACGTCCAGAACAAGGGTTTCACCCTTAACGGCAGAGTTCTCAGAGTACGTTTGGCACATCATATATGTAATAATAGAGCATGACTAACATCTACCATAGGCTGCTAAGGTTGGCGTCGTGAAGAACGCATAAGTGTTTTCTTCTTACATACCCCCAATTACAACCAATTCTCTGGGTACCTCTCTGATATCCTAATGCATTCTCCGATTTACCCTTTGTCTCCTCCAATTTTACCCCCGCTCTCCGCATGACCCTCCCCATTTCCTAATTATAGCCGCTTCATTGGGCATACTGTATACTATTCTGCTTCTTAGCGGAGCCGGTTATAAAAGCAGCTAGGCACGGCGTTTTGCTTTTAAGGTTATTCTTCACGGGATGATACTTCAGTTTGATGATTGAATCTGTACACATACATAAACTACATCTTTTTTCTACTGTTATGTTACCCCGTTCTATACCGTTCTTGTCTCTCCTACTGTCTCTCCCCTCTTACTTGTATGATTTTGCCTCATGTCCCTTTTTTACCCTTTTTTTCTTTCTTTCCTGCTGGCGGAATGTTGCTTGCTGCTTTAGTGCAGTATGGACGGTGCAGGTGCATGGAATGACGTACAATTTCAGATTAGACTCATTTAATAGCAGCTATGCCTTGGATCGAAGGGTCTATACACATTACATACCTCAAAGTTACCGCCGAATCAGGTCTATCCAGATAAAACCGAATTACTACCTTAAATACATGATACCTAGTGTACAAATCGCTAAAGAATGGAGACCAACTCTCGTTCTTCATCACCTCAATTCAACACCAGCAGTTTCCACCAGTGTCTGCCGTACCTTATCATGCAATTGATTTGTCTCTTCGTTTGTCAAAGTCCTTTCCAAGCTCCTATAATTGATTCTGTAGCATAAACTCTTCTTTCCCGTCTTCGGGTGTGTAAACTCATCAACCAATTTCACATCCTCTGCCAAATCACCCGCAGCACCTCGTACGATCTCCATGATATCATTTTCATGGAACGGCACTCCTCCTCCAGCTGCGCTTACAGTGCCTGCTGCGGACGACGGCAGCCAAAACGCAACATCCTTGTAGCATGCTGGGTGCTTAGAGAAGGGTGTGAAACGAGTGATTTTGCCGGCCTGGAACTGGGAAAGAAACCTGGGATCCTTAGACCAGAAAAGGCGGATGTCAGGAATATTGAAGAGAAGCATTGCGATTCGTTCAAGGCCTAGGCCGAAAGCCCAGCCAACTCGATGCGGAACACTAGAGGAGTTGAGAAGGTCTTGCTTAACAACGCCGCATCCAAGTAGTTCTAGCCATTCGCCTTGCCAGAACACCTCTAGCTCAAAGGATGGACTTGTAAAGGGGAAGTATGCCTCGATCCATCTGATTTTCAATGGTTCCTGCGCCGCAGCCGGGTTCTCACTGGCTTCTCTGGCAGCAGAAAAGATTCTAATTACGAGAAGCTCCAAGGATCGCTTCAAATGTGCTGTTATCGCCTCGACTTCCTCTGCGGTATGGTATTTGTCTTGTAGCGGATTGCGAGTCGGGTGTATGGTTGGGTTAGGATCTTCTACAACGACATCATGACGAGGCAGAGCTTCAACATCTTTCCATATCTCCGCAGCTGTTTGCTGGGAGGACTTCAGTGGTTCGTTTTCAGGCCGTTTCCACAGGCGTGCACCCTCCATCTGGTGGAAGACAGGATAATGACTTCGATCAATAGCATCACGACGATAGACGTCCGCGACAATAGTATATCCCTTCTCCTCCGGCCTAGTGGTCTCATTCCTGTTCATCTGCTGGAAATATGCTCGCTGGTGTGCACTTGTATGTGTCCGTAGAACAGTCTGTTTGTCCAAATAATATGTATCTGTCCGGCTTCGCCCTGGATGGTCTGCCGGGAAACCTAAGTCGTCAAAGTTCTGCGCCGCGGGGACAATTGGGTCTGATTCAGCATAGTTTCCATATTCAGGGCCGGAGAACTGGCTCTCGACGAGCTTCCGGGTTATGGAGAGAGGGTGGTTCTCGTCTAGATATAGACCACGGCCGAGGTGTGAGAGGATGTGACTCGGGGCGTTTGTCCATTCATCGGGCTGGTAGGATTTGTTTCCTACGGTCAGAGCGGGAGAAGAGGAGGCAATTGATGACGACGGCTTTGATCTAAGGGCCTCTTTGTCCTTTGGAGCTGTGGTAGAGCTGTTGAACCGGGGGTGTAGTGCTTTCAATTGGTATGGGACCAATCGGTTGGTATATATCGACCGCGGAGCTGCCAGATTCGACGCAGCCAAAGACCATCTGCAGGAGAACCGCAGCGCCCGTCTTGTCGCCAGCGACTGCATCTTGTCTGTCACTTCTTCTTATCCTTCTTCTCGTCTGCTCCTGTTCTCGTCGTCGTCTTCAACGTCTTCAGCTCGTCATCGTAAATATCAAAAGCTCGTTGTAATTTTCGTTCGGTGACGTTCCGCCTTTGTATCAAAAATTACCAGGTACTCCTATCTCCAGCCAATTATCGCAAGCCGGGGAATAGCTATCGCGTATCGTACTGTAAAAGGAGGCAAGTAATTTTGAAGCTCGCAGAAGCGAATTGAAAGCTCCGGAAAGCCGTTGGAAGAGGAAGAAAAACGGCGATTCCTGCTCTTCTTTAGCATCGTCTATCTAGACAGCTTTGTTAGAGGTAAGGATGCTCAGTTTGCGAGCGTCAATATGGGGAAAAAGGAAGTGAGCAAGGACAGCGCCTCGCAGCCTGGAGTGCATTATCCGTTCTGGTTCGGAGGCTCAGCTTCATGCTGTGCGGCGGGGGTGACACATCCCTTGGATCTTGGTGAGATGACGGTTTTATAGACTTGACTGTGTTGATGAGACATAAATACTAACGGATTGCTCTAGTTAAGGTATTTGGCCTCCTAAGCTTGATGCTTAATGAAGGATATCATGCTGATACCTAGTTATACAGGTCCGGCTACAAACTCGAGGGCCAAATGACCCAGCCGGAATGCTCCGGACCATAGTTCATATATGCAAAAACGAAGGGTTTTTAGGACTCTACAATGGAGTAAGATGCTCTTTATGATTAGAGTCAGTTTGGACAATGATTTGCTGATGGACCATGGTTATGACGTTAGCTCTCTGCCTCTGTTCTACGACAGTTGACATATTCAACGACTCGGTTCGGGGTGTATGAGGAACTCAAGACGCGAGTCAACGAGGCATCCCCTTCATCTCCCCCATCTCTGCCTACGCTGATTGCCATGGCATCGCTATCCGGCTTCCTGGGCGGACTGGTAGGTAACCCCGCAGACGTATTGAACGTACGAATGCAATCAGATGCCGGCCTTCCTCCTGAGAAGAGAAGGAACTATAAGCATGCGCTTGACGGGCTAGCTCGGATGATACGCTCAGAGGGCATCAGCAGTGCCTTTCGAGGTGTTTGGCCTAACTCGGCGAGGGCAGTGCTGATGACTGCCTCACAGCTGGCTACCTATGACACGTTCAAAGGTATATGTATCGGCAACTTGGGCATGAAAGATAACCTGACGACGCATTTTACGTCTTCGTTCATGGCCGGGTTTGTAGCCACGTCTGTGTGCAGCCCTGTGGACGTGATAAAGACTAGAATCATGCATGCCAGTCCTGCAGAGAGTAAAGGACAGAGCCTCGTTGGGCTGCTGAGAGACGTGTTTAAGAAAGAAGGGTTTACTTGGATGTTCAGAGGATGGACGCCTAGCTTCATCCGGCTTGGGCCACATACCATTGCTACGTTTCTGTTCCTGGAACAGCATAAGAAGGTATACCGTGCCTTGAAGGGGGTTAAATCAGAGACATCGATCTAGTTGGAGTTGCATTTTAAGGTCAATTGGATATAGGATATACGCTATAGTTTCTAATACGCTGGGATAGACTAGATCTTATTACATCTAGTGCTGGGTGGTTAGCTATTAATTTTGATACTAATGATACAAAAAGTAATAAAGATGAAATTTTTTTGCTTTGAAACCCTGCTTTAATATTGAGACAGTATTATATACACTTCTTTAACCATCAGCAAGCCACGGGAACCGTGTTAGTGAAGACATCGGTCCGCGACCATCCTAAAAGAAATCTATCAGTCGAGGCGAGCAGGGAAGTTGCCGGACTCTATCGCAGATGTTAGTATTAAACTTAACACTCATCACATCGACAGGAGAATCATACCTCTCTGGTCGTCCCATCGGTCGGTCCAGGACTTGGGGCAGAGAGATCGGAAAGCAAGGAAAAACTAGAGTCAGGTTAGACACAGATTCGGTCTGTTAAGGGTGGCTATATGGGCAGTACCTGTCTGCAGGGCTTGAACTCCTCTCCCTTGGCGTTGACGCACTTGTAGTAGTCAACGTAGTTTTGCCAGCAGTGCTTGGTCCTAGGCACGCTATTAGATCTTATCCGGTGACATATCTCTACCCATTGGCCTTGACTTACTGGTTCTGGTTGGGGAAACGGGCGTCAAAGCCTAAGAGTGCGGTCAGCCATATCACCACTCTCACAAAACGGTCGTCCGATTCGAACGAGAAGGTCGCCGTAAACAGGTTTGTAAAGCTATATCACGTACCAGCTGTCGAGCAGAGTTAGCAATTGCATACAGTCAGTGCCGGATAAGGCCAGTTAAGCCGGTAAACGGGGAGCACGGAGAAAGAATCAACATACCAGTCACGAACTTGAAGGGCTTGGTCTCGACGGGCTCATCGGGATCGGCATCTGGGATTTCGGCAGGCATGGTGGCTAGTTCACAAACGCAATTGACCGTGTTCTCGACTTCGGCGTGGCTGGAAGCTGTTCTTCGCTCGTCTTGTCGGTCGTCCGTCAAGATCTTCGTCGGTTGGTGTGAGGTTGAAGTTGAAGTTGCGTGACAAGAGAAAAAGTCCCGTGAGAGTGGATGACTAAGCCCATCAGGCGAATCAGGCCTTCAGCTTTACGCTTCCCACTTCTTCTTCTTCCTCCATGAACAACGTACGATACAAACAAGCGAAGAACGAACTGCGCACCAGCGACTGCAAAGCACCACGAACTCGACCCTGCAGCGTCTGAAAGAGCTGTCTGGATAGCTTGCAACCATGTTTGCCACCCGTGCCCTCGGCTTCAGGGCCGCTCGACCTCTCTTCGAGCCCATTCCCGTAAGTTGCTGCGTTTTCGCTGATCTGTTTTTGCTATGATTGTCTGTCTGTATGCCGGGAGTCGGGGTTGCTAACAGCTCTGTATAGAAGGAACAGCAAAGCGGTAAGCTTTAGACACTCGAGATCTACGATTCTGACAGGCCAATGCCTGGATTTGATGTCGCCAGCACGTCTGACAAGTCTCCCGTTGAACCAGCTCATACTATCTCCCAACGTCTGCGAACACTCAAGAAGATTCCCCCAGAGTTGATCCCTCTCGGTGAGTAACATGATGCTAGATTGGTTGACCACAGGAATTGAATTGATCTTGCTAACTTCTATTTACTTAAGGTGTCGTCCTTGGGTAAGATTCCGCTATCGTCAAAATGTCCAAAAAGACCCTGTACTAACACAGTCCAGTGTTGCCATTGGTGCCGCCATCTACTCTAGCTCAAAGAAGCTGTTCGGTGACAAGACCCTCCGTCTCACCCGATCGAAGCGTGAGGATCACTAAGCCTGGATCCCCCTTCCGGGTGCGGAACACTAAGGGAAAGGATGATGGGCGTGGCATAGAGAAGATGTTCGAGTAGCAGATTTAGGAGCAGAAAATTAATGCAATCATCTCCTTGTATCGTTAAGACGGCAATTTGAGTGTCGGTGGCGGTCTTTGTACATATATGAGATAATTCAGCACAGCTTGCTTGCTTTCCTCGGTGCTGTATGTTGTTGGGATCCCGATTTTGATAGCTCTCCGGCTGGCTCGGCATGACTATGCGGGCTTCGGGCCTGCGACGTCCAGTCCTTCAAGGCCTTGCATAGGATCTTCCGGCCGGCTGTTGCTGGTGCTGGCTTCACCTGTAGCAACCTGGTCTTCCTCGCCGACTGCATGCTTGGCCAGATATCCCTCCTGTAAAACGTATTAACATCATACTCTTTTAGTCTATCTACTTAATTATAAGGATAAACATACCTGCTCCCATATAGCTGTCTTACTGCCTAGTCCCTCGTTGCTCTCCTTCTGCGGTTTGGCTGCTGCAACTTTGATAGTTCGCCCGTACAGCTCGCTCTGGTCCATGTTGTCGATCGCCTCTTTGGCATCTTGAGGCAGCTCAAACTCGATATATCCAAATCCCCGGTGCAGGTCTGTAGACGACGGCAGCTCTGGCTTTGGCAGCGAGATATCAGTTATCTCGCCAAAGGGAATGAAGGCCTCGCTGAGCGTGCGCACTGTAACAGCCTGGTCGAGCCCGCCCACGTAGATGGTGCCCTTTAGCCTGGATGCGTCCGTCATCTTCTAATCTGTGTTCTACTGTCTTCCTGCCGTCGTCTTCCTCACACTGTTGCTTTCTTTGCTGTTGTCTGCCTCCCGTCTTTCACTTCTTCCTCGTCTATCAAAATATCACATCACGTGACCGCATACTAAAAGGCCACCTTGTTGCCCCTTTGAAGCCCAACAACAAACGACTTTTGATATATCAAATATAAACAGCCAGCTTGTCCTTGTCTTGCTACCGTCTACTTGTTGACAAGGCGTTTTTGACACTAAAGGAGACCTGCTTCCCGCCTAGACGGCTAGTCGGGGGTTTCCTTTGCTTTCTTTCTTTCTAGTTCGCTTTCCTTGATCCCCGGTATCTATCAGCACAGTCGACCATGGTGCGTCTAAGACAGATACCACGCAGCGCGGCCTTCGCCTGGTCCCCGGGCCACTCTTCTCCCTTCCTAGCGACCGGAACCCATGTCAGAGCCGTCGACGTCGATTTCTCCAATGAAACCTTTCTAGAATTGTGGGATCTCAAGCTCGATAGTGAGAATGTGGGAGCGGAGCTGCAGCCTGTAGCCAAGATTAGCACAGAGTCTAGGTGAGCTGCACGGTGATACAATCGACGGTGAGAAAATGCTGTTATCTGAATATGATGGCTAACTGGTTTTTGTCATAGGTTTCATGACCTTGGGTGGACGGCGACAGATGATACTACTAGAGGGCTCATTGCGGGAGCATTGGAGAACGGAGCCCTCAACCTATGGGACGCTGCAAAGCTGCTGGATGGCTCTAGGTTCGTGATTGCGGAATTGATCCCTTACAGAAAACAATTGAGCTGACTGTCCGTAGCAGTGAACCGGCCATGAAAGTGGCTGCTCATAGCGGGGCAGTCAAGACGCTTCAGTTTCACCCGCGGCATTCCAACCTCCTGGCCAGTGGTGGAAGCGTAGGGGAGGTCAGTGCCACTCCTCAATTGGCCTATACTATGACTGTTTTCTAACCGTGTTGTTTACCAGTTGTTCATTACCGATCTCAATAATATCGAGAGCCCTACTCGGCTAGGCAAAGTTGCAGCCAGCCAAGTCGAGATAGATTGCCTCGACTGGAACAAGAAAGTCCCCCATATCCTGGCCACGGGAAACAGTGACGGGTTCGTAACGGTATGGGATGCTAAGGCCGGAAAGGAGAGCTTGACCCTTAAGAACCTGGGGCGTAAACCCGTAAGTGCTATTGCTTGGGATCCAGAGAAGCCCACCCGACTTGTTACCTCCATACCCCTCGAGACCGATCCAGTAATTCTTGTCTGGGACCTACGCAATGCCAATGCTCCCGAACGAGTACTTAAAGGCCACGAATCCGGCGTCCTCTCGCTGTCCTGGTGTCCCCAGGACCCAAGACTCCTCCTTTCCAGTGGTGAGGATAACCGAAATATTTGCTGGAATCCACAGACCGGCGAGGCATACGGAGAATTCCCAATCGTTACAAACGCCACTTTCCAGACTCGATTTAACCCAACCAACCCCAACATCCTTGCTACTGCCTCTTTGGATGGAAATATCTCCGTGCAGACCCTTCAGAACACCAACCCGGAAACGGCGCAAAAGGGAGACGATGCGCAACCCCTTAATGACGAAGACTTCTTTGCCAAGGCCCAGACTCAACCACAGGGACCTACTTTCTCCCTACCAAAGGCTCCTAAATGGTTCGAGCGTCCTACCACCGCCAACTTTGGCTTTGGTGGAAGAGTCATTTCGGTGGTGACTGCACCAGGGACACGAACCTCGACCGTCCGTATCAGCAAGTTTGAGGTAGATGCCAGCATCGGCGCTGCTACTGATGCTTTCGAGTCCGCATTAAGCTCTGGAGATGTCCGTAGCATTTGCGAGTCTCGAGCTGCCGAGGCCAAGACTGACGAGGAGAAGTCTGACTGGAAGGTTATGACTACGTTACTGTCGGAGAGTCCTCGAAAGGAACTCATCACTCACCTTGGATTCTCGGGAGATGCCGATGAGGCTGCAGACAGCTTAGCCAAGCTTGGGCTGACAAAGGAGGACGCAGAAGAAACAACGACGGAAGAACCAAAAGCAGAAGAGAAACCGAAGTCGTCTCTTGTACCCCCTCCAGGAGCCAGGAAACATAAGAGGCTTACTTCTATCTTTGACACTGGTGCTGATAGCGAGAGTGACAGCTTCTTGAACGATCTCTCTGCCTCCAAGGATGCCAAGACCAACAGTCCCTTCAAACTGTTCACAGGAGAGGAGACTGAAGCGGATAAGGCAATCACCAAAGCTCTTATACAAGGCAAGTTTGAAATGGCCCTTGAAACCTGTCTAAAGGAGGACCGGGTGGCCGACGCTCTTATGATTGCTTTGTCTGGAGGTCAGGCGTGCATTGAAAAAGCCCAGGAGGCATACTTCCTCAAGAAATGCGAGGGACCAAGCTATGTCCGCCTACTAGCATCTATCGCTGGCAAGGATATTTGGGATGTTGTTCACAATGCCGACCTTGAAAACTGGAAGGAGATTGTTGCTGTCATTTGCACCTTTGCTGATGACAAGGAGTATCCCGATCTTTGTGAAGCCCTTGGCGATAGACTAGAGGAGTACTCGCGAACTCATGACAGCAAGGAGACTCGCAAGGACGCTTCTTTCTGCTACTTGGCCAGTTCCAAGTTGGAGAAGGTTGTGTCCATCTGGATCCAGGAACTCAAGGAGAACGAGAACAAGATGGTTGAAGATGCCTCTGGCGAGACTGGATTTTCCATCCACGTACAAGTTCTCAGGGACTTTATTGAGAAGGTCACAGTCTTCCGCCAGGTATCTAGGTTCGTTGACGCTGAAAAAGAGAAGCCATCGGACTGGAAACTCAGCTCTCTCTACGACAAGTACATCGAGTATGCCGAGATCGTTGCTACTCATGGCAGATTGGATGTAGCAGAGAAATACCTCAGCTTGCTGCCAGACAGCCATCCTGCAGGAGGCACCGCAAAGAACCGCATCCAACTGGCCACAAAGAAAGCTACCGTCACCACCACCACCAAGGCCGCCACCAAAGCACCCACGGCGCATATTCCAGCTGCCAGACAAGCTTCAGCAGCTGTGCCTCAGCCGGCTCTTGGAGGGTATGCTCCTCCCCAGCCTCAAGTACCCCAGCAGCCGCCAATGGTAAACCGTGGACCAACCCCAAACAACCCGTATGCGCCATCGGCTTTCAGCCAACCCGCCAATCCTTACGCTCCAAGTGCCCAGGCATCGAACTACGCACCCGCTGCCGGTTACCAACCGTCGCAGCAGCCTGGTATCGCCCCTCCTCTATTCCCTGGTCAGCAAGCCCATGGAGTTCCGCCCCCTCCTAGAGGCTTAACCCAATCACCCTCTACAGTGAAGCCGCACACGGAACGAACCAATGTCCCTGCTTGGAACGATCTTCCCGAAGGGTTTGCAAGGACCCCCACCCCTCGACGCGGAACTCCAAGTCAGGGACCTGCGGTTATCAGTTCACCGTTCCCCAATCAGCAGCAGCAGCAGCAGACCCGGAGCCCTCCTCCACCCCCTGGCCCCCCAGGTCCCGGACAGCGAGCCTCGATGCCCGTTCCACCACCACCAAAGGGCCCCTTCCAAGCAGCATCACATGCAACTCCTCCAGGCTCTGCAGGAGGCTCTCAATTCGTGCCACCAGAACGCCCATCATCTACTGCAAACCTGTATGCTCCCCCTCCAACACAACATCCACCAACAGGAGTGGCCGGTGGCCCTCCACCCATCGCCCGCAGTGCATCCCCATATTCCCCTCCACCAGCCGGCGCACCACCATCAAACCGATATGCTCCAAATCTGTCGTCCCAGCCTTCTCACCCAGCTGGATCAACTGTACCCTCCGGGCCTCCCGGGCCACCCCAACAGGCGCCAGGCCCAAGCCCATACGGAGCTCAGCGGTTCCAGTCCGCACCACCACCACAGGGAGGACCTCCCCAGGGACCATATGCACCACAAGGGGGCCAGTTCACTCAGCCTCCTCCACCACCACATACCGGTGCTCCTCCACGACCAGACTCCCGACCAAGTACTGGCCAGTCGCAGAAGAAAGCTCCTGCAGCCCCTCCCAAACACCGTAAGTTGACCATCTACCACTTCAACAATACACGTTTGTAACCGATAACTAACCCGTCCATAGCTGCCGGTGATCGTTCTCACATCCCAGACAACGCCAGGCCAATCTTCGACATTCTCTCCGCTGATATGCAGCGCGTAAAATCTCGTGCTCCATCTAGCTTCAAGGCGCAAGTCAACGACACTGAACGAAGACTAAACATCCTGTTCGATCACCTGAACAACGAAGACCTGCTGAAGCCAGGCACAATCGACAGCATGATTGAACTAGCCCGAGCCATCCAGAGCAGAGAATATGAAGCCGCGCAAGCAATTCACTTGGATATCCTGACCAACCGCACCGACGAATGCGGAAACTGGATGGTAAGTTACTACCAGATTTAATCAATCTACATACTAATTTTCATCCAGGTCGGTGTGAAACGATTGATTGGCATGAGCAAAGCGACGCCATGAACGAAATGAAAAAAGCCTCACTTTCTCTTCACCCTTTGAACTAGCATTTAGCACTTTTCCACAACGCCTGGATTTTGAAATGTCGCTATGAAGATGATCGTACATGGCCCTTTTCTCTGTTGGAGTTGATTTTGCATCTATTTCGATTTCGGTTCTTGTGGTTGAAATAGAGAGATGGCAGGTGTATAGCCCCCTGGAGGCAACAAGGCAAAACCAAAAAGGGATGGAAGCAAGGACAACTGATAATGAGGTTTTGATATGATGTTGATATTAAGTACTCATTTATATTAATGTATTGATTGCTCTATATGATGTTCTATATATATACCGTTCGTTTCGTCACTCATATATACCGTCAACCCCATATGTACGCATCCATGTTCGTCCAAGGTAAAGTTCAGAAAAGCTATATCCTTTTCCGAACCCTAATCTCCAACGCTCGCAAGGGCAGGTATAAAATCCCACTTAAAACCATGGCAACTTCAAATCCAATATCTCCCGTAACCTTCGCAATCGGGCCCTGGAACCAAGTCTGCAACATACACGGCACTACGAGCGCAAACGAAAGCGCACCAGCAGCTATAGCAGCCACACCACTCGGCAAGGCAGCGGCATTATTCCAGATCTCAGCATCATACGAGGCGTAATCGCCTTTCCTGAAAATGACATGCTCGATAGCGATGATGGCTACAAACGTAGCAGACCAATATGATATGACGGCAGCGAAATTCTCAAGCGAGACAAAGAAACTTACCGCCGCTCGAATCGATACCGGTATCACTATTGCTATAAACACTATAGCGAAGATGGCGCGTGGTACGCGGACTAGTACAGGTAGTAGAAGCTGGAAGTTTAGTGAGATGCTGTATATGCTTGCAGCGATGTTGCCGAGGGTAGAGAAGGTGAGCAGGACGATGATGAATTTGCCGAATCCGCCTGCGGAAGAGAGCATGGCTGCGAGTATCCCTCCGACCGAACCAGTTTCATAGGCGGTAGACCAGCTGGGTATGTTGGGTACTGCGCCGCCTATTGCTGCGCCGAGGATCATTAGGGGTATATTGGGTAGACAGAGGCCGGCGTATACGGCTGCAAAGACGTGTTTTCTACTAGGTGTTAGTGTGCATGTTTCTAGTTAAGTGGGTAATAGATAGTTCGGGAAGGACGCACGAGTTCACGCTTGGGTGGAAGTAAGCGCAGTAATCTGAGCTCAGCGCTGCCCAGGGGATAAGGAAACCCGCCAGGAGGCCTCCGAATGATAAGATGGGTACCGCTGTTGCTGGTGGTGGAGTATGTTGGTTGGCGAGATACTTCCCTCCACAGCCCGTGGCGATCACCAGCGAGATCAGCGTGGGTATCCAGGCCCATTTCTCATAGTGGTATAGAACCCGATACCCGAAGAACGAAATAAACAGTGCCACGCATGCTACGATAACAATGCCGACGTTTACGCTTAGATCGCCATTGATAGCTGAGAGAGTTTGTCCACCTATCACGCAGTTTATGATGGTGAAGCCCGACATGGTTGACATGTTTAGCAGCACCACGATGTTAACTAGATATAACCTATCAACGGCGTTAGATGGGCCATGCAACGAGCCGGGGTATGAATATAGTTTTGCAAAAAGATAATTGATAGTTTGGCAAGGGATGACGCACCCATAGCTATAGCGGGCGTGTATCATTTGCCGCATGCCGGTCTTCGGTCCAAAGACGGAAAGGTATGCGGGCGGAACAGTGCATAGTAAGTTGAAGAAGATAATCACCAGCGAAGCGTCGCGCAAGCTCAATTTTAAACTCAACGTGCCTACCATGCCCGTTATAACGCTGCGTTCGTTGGTTAGTTAGTGGCTGGATGTTTCACTGCAGGGAAGTTGACAGTTATGCATCTAGCTTACGGTAGCAGGTTGCAGCTGATAGTGAACCAGAGGACGAATAAGCTGAATACATTCCTATCTGTCCGGTCCTTGAGGTCGACGGGAACGATGCCTCGTAGCTCGACGCCCCATGATGCGAGACGGGACCAGAATGTAGATATGTAGCTTTGTACTGTTGGTGGTGCCTGGGTTGCAGCTGGTGCTGATGCCGATGACTCGGTGGGTGGTGCCGGGTGTTTTTCGATGTCCTCGGGTGTGGAAGTTGCCCCGCTGGGAGATGGTTGTCTGCTTGAATGTGCCATGGCGGGATGCAGACAAGCTATGCAACGCCAAAAAACACCTCCAACCCAGTGAGATATATGGAAATGAAATAACTAGAAAATATCCAAAGAAAGAAATAAGAATAAAATATCGAAAAGCTGAACTTTTGCTTTGCCGAAGCTTGACTCACGTGCCGGCGGCTGCGCTAGTTAAAACCGCCCCGCTCGCGGCTAGTTATCACGTCACTATTTATAGATCACCAACTATGTAACATCGAGACCAAAATAGTGAGGAACAGACGTAGTGTTAGCTCTGGAACATGACGACGGCAGAGTTCTTGACTACCTCTGGACCCAAGGAAGCGGCAAGTTCGGCAACGATACCCTTGATAGACTGTGGATTAGTGACACTCGAGTCCTCCCATCCAACCAAGTCCTGCACTGTTAGCACCATCACACCTATATGGAATGCTAGAAGAGCAGAGGTTAATAACATACTATCATTTCTACGAGCATGTTGCGAATGAGGAGATGCCAGTGGTCGAGGTCGATGGTAGACTTAAGCTGCTCTACAGTCAAGACGCCCGGCATGTGCAGGTCAAATAACGAGAGGGCGTCTTCATCCGGTATATCTTCGTAGTCATCGGGTATTTGTTGGCCTGAAGTCGAGAAGTAGCGTTGTGTTTCTAGTTTGGGAGCAAACACTTCGTCCAGAGAGTGCCACTCATACGTTTCTGGGTCTGTAATTCATATTAGCTAGGGTGAAACAGTAGGTAGAAGGGAGGGGTACACACCCTGTATGTACTGTGGTCTGAAAGTACCCTTGTACCGCATCTTAGGACATGAGTGGATATAATATCCTGGAGTCATTAGTACGTCAACAGGAGGAAGAGTAAAGGGAAATAGTTTTCAGTACCCATGTAGTAGTGTTGGAGATGCATCTCTTGGGTCAAGGCAATCTCTCTCATGGCACTTAGCTTGCCAAACTCGAACTTTTCGTACTCGGGATCGTAACTATAACAGTCAGTATAAGATGCACATAAGTAAAGATAAGGCTGACGTACAAAATATACACTGAACTAACGGAGCGAGGCAGCAAGTCCAGCACAGCCACAGCAACCAGCTTCCCATCAAGACGGTAGCACTGGTGGTACGAGCCCACCTTCTGCTCTATGGTAGCGGTACTTCCATCTTCCTGTTTGACAGCATGCTTGACTGTCTTCCTCTTGATGCCAGCGCACAAAAACCGCTCGAAATCAGAGCGTTTCCAGCGTGACTCGTGCTCTTTGTGTATGGTAGTCTGATACCTCAGAAACAACTCAAACCTGCCACCATCAGCACCTAAACACCTATTTTAAGAAAAAGGCAAAGAGGTGACCTACTTTGCTACCGAGAACGAGTCTGCTTCGATGTTGACTTCAAACTTATGTGCGGGTTCAATAGTCCTCTTGGTGAGCGGGTTGACAGGCCTAGGCAGAGAAGGGTACTCCATCTCATGCACCCGTTGACTCAAATCAAACGTCTGGTCATGTCTTTTCTTCTCCTGTCTTGATCGGGGACACAGACGTGCTGCTGCATGGGTATACTCTGGCCCCAGCACGAACGCGGTCCACCTGTTCAGCGCCTTTCTCTGGTCCCTGCGGGGTCTATATTCACCCGGATCAAGTCTGTTCCTACTAGTTAATACAGCATATAAGTAGAGGGAAGATGGTATGGAGTACCTGATGGTGTAGTGAGGACAGCAGGAGCGGGCGAGGTTAGGCTTGTAGTAGAGCGAGCCCGACCTGCGCCATCCGCGGTCCATGAGCGTCTCGTACTCTTCCGCGCGGACAGAGGTGGAGGAAGCATAGTAGCTTGCGCCTTTCCAGTCAGCTTTCAAGGGTATAAGTGTGAGTGTGTGAGGGAGACTGACTGCCCTCTGCCTTTTTGCAGTATCCGCAGGTGTTTCTCTGGTAGCCTGGGGAGGTCAGCCTAGTTTGGGGCAGCAGCAGAGAGGGAGGGAGTCTGCCTACCCATGGGCGAGAAGTAGGACATCTCGGTCATCTTGAGGTCTGCCATGACTGACTCTACTTCTTATGACTATCTTATTATACTCTTATTACTCTCTTCTATCTTCTGTCTTTACTATCTTCTATTCCCATCTCGCTGTCGCTTCTCGTTGTTTTATTTACTTCAGTCGCGGTGAATCTGTCACGTGATCTATAACTTACTAAGCATAAAAAAGGAGAGAAAGAAAAGACGAAGTGAAGATGGAAATAGAAAAGAGAAGAGAATAAGAGAAGAGAAGAGACTGCGAGACTAAGACTCAGACCAAGTCTGCGTCTCGTCTTAGTCGCCTGCCATGTCATGTCGCGCTGTCGAGTGGATGTGACAGGGCGCCGGGGAAGACGAAGCCATCGACGGACGAGAAGCAGAAAAAGAAAAAAGGGACAAGACAAAGACACCCGAGATGCATCCCTGGCCTGTAAGTAACTAAGAAGTAAGAAAGTAAGGAGGTAAGGAAGTAAATGCTGCCTTCTCATCCCTGAACCCGTCAGGAGCCTTTCTCTGCTCGTCCCGGCGGTGAAAGCGAGCAGGGAAGACGCAGCCCAGCAAAAGCTCGTCAACTCGATGACAGGGAGACCCGGCAAGGGGACAAGACAGCAACTGTAACTGGCAGAAGAGTCGAAGCTGCGGCCAGTAAGAAGACATCGTAAATCGATCTCTCTTCTTTTGTTTTCTTCTTCTTTTTTCTTCTTCTTCTTTTCTTCTCTTCTTCGTCTCTTCTCTCAATCTCGTCTCTGTCAATTACGTAGTTGACTGCGCTAGTCTCCATTCTACCTTCTACCTCTACCTCTACCTCTACCACTCAACTCCCACTTCTTCTTCTTTACTTTCTCTACCTCCTACCTCTGCTCCCTCCTCTGCTCTACTACTGCTCTACCACTGCTCTACCACCAACTGCTCTGTCTTCCTCTCATCATGGCTACTCGCACCATGGAAGCCCGAACTGGCCGGACAAACCAGCGTAAGAAGCTCCCAGCCCGGGGTTCGCGCACGTGTTTCCCCTTCCCTCTCTCTTCCCCTACCACAAAGCCTTTCCTCTTCCTCCCGCACAAAGACTCGAGACACAGACAGAAAGAAAGACGCAACGATAAGATACAAAGACAAGATGCTAACGGCGACCTAGGATACTCACCGACAGGCGAGCGTCTCGTCGCAGGCGTCGTCCCGCTCTCCCCCGACAAGTCCAAGGTCCTGCTCATCCAATCTGCCCGCCCCGGCGCCTGGGTGCTCCCCAAGGGCGGCTGGGAGCTCGACGAGCCCTCCGCCCAGGTCGCCGCCGTCCGCGAGGCGTGGGAAGAGGCCGGCGTCGTCTGCACCGTCACCTCAGACCTGGGCAAGATCCCCGACATGCGCAGCGCAGTGCAGATATCGGCCAAGGCGCCGCGCGTGCTCTACCAGTTCTTCGAGGTGCGCGTGGATCGCGAGGAGAGCCAGTGGCCTGAGATGCACAAGCGGAAGAGGCAGTGGGTGACTTATCCGCAGGCGGCGGCGGCGTTGGTTGCGCGGCCGGAGCTGCTCGACGCCCTCAACAGGAGCTCCATCAAGCGGTGACCCCAGTCACTCGACACAACACATCCTGACTTCTATACTGGACTTCCATTCATGATGACTGATTCTCTTCTTCCCCCGCATTTACATACATATCATTTACGCCTGGGTTGGATCGATCTTTGGATATATTGTTTTTTTGTAATCCTCTTTACTTTTTTCGTTTTTTGCTTCCTTTTTCTGCCTTTTCTTTTAACCGCCTTATCCTCCTCCCTGCATTGGCATCGTTCGTTGACACAAAAGCATTGGTTACGAGTCTCGGTCTTCCTTTCTACTTGCATAGCATCATCCATCATCCTTTGCCCTGTTTTTTGCTTTTTTGGCTTCTCTTTTCTGCTGCTTTTTTTGGTTTATGGTCTGGTGATAGAGATAGAAAACAGTTGATACCGAAAAGCATAGAATGGATGGCGTTTCTTCTTTTCTTCTTCTCTGAAACACTTTTATCGCTTTTGATCTTCTGTATAAAAATTCTCCGGAGGTCAATTTTGATACGCGGATAAACGTTGTTACTCCCGGGCGACTAAGAGATGACTAAACGACTAAGAGTGACTAAGAAATGACTAAATAGTGACTGTAATGACTAAGCAGTCGAATCAACGACTTCATCAATTTATCGCCAACTGCAACTGCAACGGACAGCTCGATCTCTGCTTTTTCGCTGCTCGACTCTACACCGTCCACGGCTTGATACCACTGTTAATACTGCACCAACGCACTGCTGAAACGCTGATATATACCTCTCATACACCATGGACTACGACGCCATGGACATAGAGCCCCAGGGGCCCCAGGTCACCGTCCGCGAAGTGAGCTCATACCCTTTATACCCTCTTATACCAGTCCCCCCTAACACCTCCCAGGCAGAACCATACCGCGTAGACTTCCGCCTCAGCTCCGTCGACCTCGCCTTCGCCAACTCCTTCCGCCGCACCATCCTCGCCGAAATCCCCACCGTCGCAATAGACGTCGTCGAAATAGAAGTAAACACCTCCGTGCTCCCTGACGAATTCATCTCCCACCGTCTAGGCCTGATCCCCCTCTGCTCGAAAAACTGCGACACAGATATGCTGTACTCGCGAGACTGCGATTGCGAAGCAGGCTGTGCGCGCTGCGTCATCAACCTCTCCCTACACGCCAAGTGCACCTCAGAGGATATCATGAAGGTGTATGCCAGGGATCTGGTCGTGGTGGGCGACAGGGCGAACGAGTGGGTTGGGAACCCCGTTGTTACGGATCCGGAAGGGAAGGGACCGATTATATGTAAGCTTCGACGGGGGCAGGAGGTTAAGTTCAATTGTATCGTCAAGAAGGGCATTGCGAAGGAACATGCCAAGTGGGCTCCGACTGCGGCGGTTGGGTTCGAGTATGATCCGCATAATAACCTGCGTCATGTCGACTATTGGTTTGAAGAAGATCCCATCAAGGAGTGGTAAGTTACTTATGGATGGACCAACGAACCCTTCTTTGCGTGCTGCGTTAACTGGTGTAGGCCCCTCTCTGCCAACGCAGGATGGGAAACAGCCCACCCTAAAGACCTCCCGTTCGACTATGACGCTGCTCCCAACACATTCTACATCGATATAGAAAGTATAGGAAACCTCGAGCCTGACGCTGTCGTGCAGCAGGGTATCATCATGATGCAGCGAAAGCTTGCCGAGATCATCTCCGGCCTGACTGGTTCCGACGGCCAGGGCATGGTTAACGGTGGAGTCGAGCAGGATGGAGCCGGCGCCAGGAGTCCCGATGCATATGAGCCGCCGGAGGGCATCGATGGCGGGTTCACTGCGTACGGGGGTGCGAATGGAGCTGGGCCTGGTTCGGGTGCTGCTGGTGCAGGCGGCAGTGGGAGTGTTTGGGGCGGGGCCGGTGGTGCAACGCCCTACGGTGCTACGCCTTATGGTCAGGGATACGGCTTTTAATCATTTTATCTACCTTTTTTACCTTTTACCTTTTTACCTTTTTACTTCAACGGGTTGCTACCGGTGTTGGCGCGTGGGGGTTTTGCGGCTGGGGCTCATTTGCTGTACCATAACATAAAAGCGAAGGCATACTCGTTTGGCTATTTATTATATTTTATTTATTTATTTTGTTTATACAAGCCATATCCAGTCAAGTTATGTGGTTGAAGGTGAGGGTGATGATGAGTGAAGATATAACTAGTTAGTTAAAAATGCTATGCTATGAGAATATGTCCTATACATGAAGTAATATGACCAAGTGAAGATGAAGAAAGAAAGATACCAAACAATCTATACCCGCTGTCAGCATACATCCATATATGCCAGGAGTATAAACAGCCACTCACCTTGTTAATGTCCGTAACACGCTTATCAAAAAAAACGCCGTGGCAGTCCGTCAGGGCGTCCTCCCATGCAAGTAGATACCAGAGTATGAGACGAGATGCAAATAAAGCCAGCCCAGTTAACTCCGCTCACTTCTCCTCAATATCCTCCAGATCAGCTTTTTCCGCCTCTCCTTCCCCGTCCATATCCCCTTCTACCAACGGATTCCCACCAACCCGTCGTCCAGCTCCATACACCATCTCCATCAACTTCGCCTTCTGCTTATCCCGCACTTCCTTAAGATAATCGTGCGCCCCGTCCAACCCCCTGATCTGGCCATGTATAATCATCTCCATCGCATTCTCTCCACCAACCGCATCCTCTCCCGAACCTCCGACGCCACCGCCATGTGCGGAAGTGGTGCTTATACCCATCAACGGACCAAGTGTCATGCCCATTGAACTGTTGCCGCCTCTGAGAAGCGGGCTGACAAGTTTGCGCCGGAGGGCTTCGAGGTTCGCTTTGAGTGCGAGGAGTCTGCCTCGATGGTCCATGAGGAGGTGCTTGTTTGCGACTGTCCGTTGGCGTACGGAGGAAAGCAAGCGTCGGTTCTTCTCGTACTTGCGTAGCGCCACTGCGTTAGAGCCTAGGACGCGGGTCCATAGTGATGAGAGGAGTTCTCCCTCTGCGCGTTCTTGGGCGTTGGATTCTCGCACAACCGTGCGTTGGAGGTTAAGGAATTGTCTGTCTATGGACTCGAAAAGGGTGAAGAGGGAGGTTGAGTGGGTTAGTTCGTTGTTTATGCTTTCTTCAAGCACAGAGAGCAGCTCGGTGAAGGCGTGGGTTAAAGTTAGCTGCGTGCGTTGGGAGCGGGTGCGGCCGAACAGCGTTGTTATCAACGAGCCAAGGCGCGTGGGGATGGGTGCTACAGGCATTTCGGTGATTGTTTCGTTGCCGAGACCGTTGCTTGCATTGGCGGATAGGCTGGTAGGTAGAGTCTCAAGCACGCCCAGGCGAGACAGCATGTTGTGGAAGTTGTCGAAGAATATTGAGGATAGGGTATTGGGTGGTTGAGATGATAAGGCTTCCAGCTCTCTTCGCGCCCATTCCATGACAATCAGTATGGAATCAATGTCTGCATCGACGTTGGCGAAGAACCGCGTGAGTTCCAGCGAGAGCGAGTTCAGCGATTGAGATAGTTCGTCAAGCTCTCTCACTATAATCGGAGCACTGGTCATGTTTGTTCCTCGTACGGACTCGGCCAGGTCCCATACGGCAACCCCGGTCTCCTGCAACGTACCAATCTGCTGCACGCCGTTCTCCGAATAGTATATTAACGGCTCAAACGAGCGTGTGAAGCTAGATAGCTTGACAATGTCCGGCACAGGCGGTAGCGGCGGCGGCAAGAATAACGCCCGCATAAATGTAAGTGATATCAGCGCAACCGCCACGGACAGTAGTGTCGACGACCTCGTTTGTGTCATTGAATCGAACTTTGCTCCCATGTAGTTGAAGAATGCGACAAATGGTTCGCGATGCTGGACTTCAGCGCGGACTGCAAATCGGATATCTAGACGGTCAATAAGTCATGGTTCCAACCAGATTCTGAAATATAGTAAGCCTTCTTACAGTTCGTAATCGACTCAGGCTCTTTCTCCAGTTTCAAATCAGAGCTTGCCTTGAACTCATGTTTACCACCTTTGTTCTTGTCGTCTGCTTCTGTTGCCGATGTTGCTACGGCTTTTTTGGGTTCTCCCCTGCTTTCTGGAGGCGGACTTGGAGAACGGCCTTTGACAGGTGAATCTGTTCCGTTGGGCAGTGGTATGGTAGCTGGTAGTATCAGTTCACTTGACTCTTCCTTTAGTGTTACTGTGGCCGTGCTCGAGGACGTCGGCTTCTCAGGCGCATCCTCATATTGTGGACTGACTTCCCTGGACCGACTACCAGGGCTATGTGGCTGCAAATGTTCTGGTTTAAAGTCAGGCTGGTTCCGCATGTACGGTTGCTGTCTGTACCATGCGGCGCCTGCCATCATGGCCGGGTGATAGCCCAGAGCAGAATTCTGCTTCGGCGTTTGATATTCTGGCTTTGTGAATGTGGCTCGTAGCCCAGGTGGAGACCACGGACTGCTTGATCGAGAGATATCCCCATCTTGCTCAGACGGGGAAGCTTCTGAAATACCCGAGCGGAAACCAGAATGTTGCGACGGAAGACCGAAGAACGGCGACCTGTGCGCGTACTGTTCTTCAAAGTCTTCTAGTGAGGCATCGAGGGACGGATGGTCATCAAAGACGTTATCCAGATCATGTATGGGATCCGTTGCCATCATGGCAGCGACGTCTCCCTCTCCTTGTTACTTCAGCTATGCGCTGGCCGTGTAGTCTTTCTGCGCGGAGGGGGAGCTGTTTCGTTTCACCCAGGCCTGATAGGCGCCTTGGAAACGGCTGTCTTGCTGTCAATGATGAGCTGACTGGGTACGACGTTTGATATGCACGTCGATATCTCGATGTGTCTCGATATCTCTTTTCTAGAGTCAGATTTATGTTTGCGACTGTGCTCACAAGGTATCTTCCGCCTTACCCTCGGTTGCAAATGTAGGAACAACGTAGCTAAAGACACAAAGGACGTAGTTATCGATAAGAAGAAAGCGACTGCTGCCTTGCGTAGGCTAGAGAATGAGAAAGATGAAGTGTCGTATCTCAGACCGTTCACTGTTGAAGATGCGATCGATGCGATGCGATGCGCTGTCCGTTGTGTAAGAAACACGGTTCAGATGAATCCAGAGCAAAGGATCAAGTTCAAACTGGGCATTTATACATTCAGAGACACTCAGAGCGACTTTCTCTGGAGCATTCATTCATAAGACCTGAGGTCTGATTCTTGAGTCTTATCGCTCTTCGTATTTGGTTCAAACAGGCGCGATATCGATAGTCGCCGCCAGTGTCCACACCAGTTCTGCCTGGATCGTCAGCCTGTTTGTTCAGTTTCAGTATTTATAAATCGTAGTTTTCTTTTCTGCACTTCGTTTGCTCTTGACGGTGGAATATATCACTCTGTAGCTACTCAAGAGACGAAGCCGAAGTAGTTGAAAGTTGCGGCCGAAGTCGAACATCGAGGCCGGACAACCAGGAACTTGCGTCACGTTATCATGAACTGCGAGAGATCCCCGCCCTCTCGTCTCAGCAGAAGCTCGAGAATCGTCGCTGGTCCTCTCTGGGCTCGCAACTGGCCCGGGTCTTACAGGGTAACTCCGCCGGGCGCATGGTTGGCTGGAGATGCACCCAACTGACCTGCACTCTCAGCCAGTAATCGGGCCCAGTGGCGGTGGCTGGTCCAATAATGCGACGGGAAGCCGTGTTTCATCTGCAATGCCTGTATCTTATGATGCTACTTATTGGCCAGGATGCCGGTGCCTCTGGTACGTACTTCTTCATCGTTGATGCGGGCGAGCCCGTGGCCCGTCAAGCTCATCGCTAGTTCTTCATTTCAGACTCCTCTCGGCAGGATGCCAACTCTTGTTACCACCCCCCCAGTTGTGTCTTCAACTATAACCTTTGCTCTTTGCATAAGAGCTCTCGTTATTGTCCGGCTCGAGATCTTCATCATCGTTGGGAACCGTGAGAGAGCATGAGGGGTGCCCATCTTCTGATATCCACATAGCACCGTTAGGCCCATGTACAAGTATCATCTGACCTCTTTCTACCAAGTCTGCGCTGGCCGTCCTCCACTGTCTAGCGGCAAAAAACCGGGAGTCGTTGATGTGCCAGCGTCCCGGTTGACAGGCGGGATAAGTCTCCTGTCAAGGGAGTGTTGAATAACGTCTGCTATCAACTGGACTTTGTCAGTGGCTACTCCGTACTCCGTATACCTCAGCCTGTAAGGTCGACATAGCAGAGACAAGAATATCCATCACTCACCTGACGGGTATAGAGCTCTTCGTGGATCGTCCTGATTACGTTGATGTTCTTGGACTTCAATAGGCGGGGTGGCTTTGGTGGTAGAGGGTCTTGCGCCGCGTTGTCGTCTGATCCCCAGGCCTGTCTTTCCTTTAGTCATCTCAGCATCTTCATGAAGAGGCATAGGTTCGCCAGTTTGTACTCCGTATTCCTGTGTGTTTTGATACCCCGAGCGGTCTTCCACGGTTCTGGAGTTGTTGGTTTGTGTGGGTGTTGAAAACCGTGGTTGAAATAACCTTAAATACTCTGGTGGTATCATTACCGTCAAATATCAACTGTGGATACAGCTTATACCCTCAAGGGAAAGCCGTATTTGATACATTGTTTGGAAGCATTAATTTGCTAGAAGTGGACATTAAGGAATGGTCTCTTACTATAAACACGCAGAACTTTGTAAGGATAGCTTTCTTTCTGTTCAATATTCTATACTATTCTACCATAGCCAATAGGTAACCAACAAATACCAACACAAATACAAAAAATACTGTTTACCAAGGGTAGAAAACAGTGGATATTGACGAGATTGAGAGCGGAGATTAATATTCATTTTATCATAAGGTGAAGCCCTAATACCAAAGGGTGCACCACATCAAAAGGAAGCAGACATGTTACAGGTTGGTAGGGGAGGACAGGAGTCAGACAGAAGATTTCCCTTGGTCTATCAGAGATGCAGGCACTATGGAACAAAAACATAAAAGATAAAAACACAGTATGGTACGAAGAAAAAAGGTGTAACATCTAAGTGATAAGAAAAATGATCTTTTGGTATTATTGGTACATGCCGCCCTCTATTTTTCCTGGGTCCTCGTAATTCGTCCATTCCATTATCGTGTGGGTGAAGGTGAGGAACGGTAGGAGAAACAGTGAAATATTAGGCGGAGATGGGATACGGAAGAGTTAGATGGTACAGGCGGATTGGTGTGTCATGGAGATAAGTCGATCTGAGAACTTTATTTGGTCTTCTCCTCGAGGAAGCTATGTGGTTGTTAGATGTGGTACTACAAGCAAGATAGGGTAAAGTGAACGTACGTGATGAGGTCGTTGCGGTCCTTGGCTTTCTTGAGACCACCGAAGGCCATCTTGGTACCGGGAATGAATTTCTTTGGGTTCTCAAGGTACTCGAACTACGGCAACGTTAGAATATTGCTTGTATAATGAAATCGACGGAGCAGACTTACGAGAGAATCATGGTCCCAGGTGACACCCTTGCTCTTGTTGGCGTCGGTGTAAGCGTAACCTTCGACCTGACCAGACTTGCGGCCGAAGAGGCCGAAAAGGTTGGGGCCGACCATGTTGTTACCGCCCTCCTCGAGGGTGTGGCAGGAAGCACAGCGAGTCTTGAAAAGACCGGCACCCTTAGCGGCGTCACCTGGATTATGGATAGATATGTTAGCTTTCTCTTTATCCTTTAATGTCCCTTGTTGTTTCTGCTGCGCTCTGCGCTTCTCAGCTTCAACAAGACTATCAATGACCGACGGGCCCCAAATAGAGCATGTTGCACACATGATGGCGTTTAACAAGTAGCAGGTAACAAACGATATATTAAGCAGCGAGATAAGAGAACTGTAGCTTGGAGAAAATGGCGAGAGCACAGATAGATGCAGATAAGCCTTTGACCTTACTGACCCTTATAGCCAGCAGGACAGATGGACAGGACAAAGCTCAACCAAGAAACTGTCCTAGGTGCGAGCCAGCCTTGTCTTTTACCCTTCACTCTACCACTACAGCGGCAGCGAACAAGCAAATTGAAGTGACAATTAGGCCATTGCATCCATTTCCATCTTTCCTATCATTATCCGGCACCTCCTCCATTGTTCTCCAAGCTCTGTCTTTGCTGTCCCTTTTCTCAGAGTCAGATCGGTTTAACAACTTACCAGGAGAGTAAGAAGCAGGAGCCTTGCCCATTGTGTCTGAGTATATGTACGAGAGGGAAACGAAGGATCGAGATAGTCCAAAAGTCGTCGATTGAGGGTATATAAAGTCGTCGGTTTGATAAATGCAGCGGATCGATGGAAGCAAGAAAGATGAAGTCGAAGCAAAAAGTTGAAAGAGAGAAAAGTTTTATTGATGCAGAAAAAGAAAAAAAGCACGTGTTTTGGCCTGATGACGAAGGAGCGCGGGTTTAGGGAGGCGCTGATTGGTTGACAGCTAAGGAGAGCCAATCATAGAAGAGGATTAGTCATGTCCTTGACAGCAACCGGGAAAAGCCGGACTGTCACGGGCCGAAGTTTATCCTTCACGTGATAATGATGACGTAAACCAGCAGTAGCAGAGTTGTGACAAGGAGACGAGACGATCACCAAGAGGGTAAGATACTGATAAAGATGAAGAAGATAGGGAAAGATTTAGTGATGCAGTATGAGACAAACAAGGTAAGTGTAAAGTGCTAGATGAGAGAAAGAGGGGGATCAACAGATCGGAAGAGAGCAAGAGCAATTTGGTATATTTCACTGCAAACTATACTACATTCAGCGCCTATCTAGCTGAACAACACCATGTGTCATTGAGCTGGATATTCTCCTATTCATACTTTATTGTTTACTGCTTAAACTTGCTGCTCTTGATATCAAACTGGCCAGCCAATCATATAGAAGGAAGTCTTCAAAGTCAAAATATATCACGTGATATAAAATGGTCGCGAGAAATCTCAACTTTCAACGACGGTGATGAGATAGAGAAGAAGAGCAGGGTAGATATAGAATCCTCTCAAGACATTAAGAAGGGAACAGAGGAGACGGCGCAATGGCTGCTCCATCGACGATACCCTCCTTTCTCCTCCCACGAGGAGGCCTCTCCAAGTCGTCGCTGCAGTACCTTCGAATCACTCCACGAAGAACCCTCCTCCGCCATGCCAACTTCTCCTCCTCTCGCACCTCTCATGCTGCTCCCACAAAGCCCCGGGTACTCGAGAAGCCCGACAAATTTCGCCCTCCATCACATCCAGCTCGCCGAGTGGTCAATCTTAACAAGTCACCAAGGAATTACCCCGGTCCTCCTCCCACTGCAAAGGAGATAGAAGATCGCAAGACGAAGAGATACCCTAACATGTTCCCTCCAGAGGGCACAGTGCTATTCAAGTTCCTCACTAACAAGGGCATCCATGTCTGGATATCAATGGTAAGCATTGGCGTATATTTATTAATTAACGTTAATTTATCTAACAGTGTTGAATAGAGCGTCCTTTTCTCCCTTGCCTATTTCACCTGGTCAACGAACTTTAAACGCACATCTCCATACGCACATCTACTGCCGGGCTGGTCTCAGCTGTTCTCGAGCCCTATAAGTACCGTATCTCAGTTCTTTACGGTGATGAAAATGCACGCCGAGCACACTACGGTGGTATCAAAGGAAAAGCGGAAGAGGATTTCGGATGATATTGATAAGCGCAAGGAATACCGCATTGCCCATGGGCTAGAAGAAGATGATAGGGTGAAGGCTGATGATGCTCAGGCCACTGAAGGGGTTGAAGGTGCCATTGTGGAGGGCGCGGATAATGTTCAGAGTGAGGGGACTGCGTCAATGAGAAAACCAAAGAGATGGCTGGGCATCTGGTGAGAGACTAAAGCCTGTTTGCTCTTTCAGTTTGTAGGATGAGGGATACTTGAATCTCTTTATTGTATAATATGTCACGATAAAGCATTTTAGGAGGACTACATTCCGTTCATTCACGTGTAGAATGTTTCGTATCTACACTCAACCTGTGTCAGGCGCTTGTACTTTCGGCTAGATAGATACATAGCTTTTTATCAGATGGGTTGCTGCTTTCCATCGGAGCGTTGTATAACCTCTCGCAGGCTGGTATCAGGTTCAGCGCGGAAAGTCTTGGGAAGCCATTTTGGCGACCAGTCTGTTCAGCAATTGCCTGGATCAGTAATAATGGTTATAACCCCGTTATTCACGCTCATTCAGTCGACTTCCACCATCTCCAGGCCCTCCATCACTTCGTCACCTACGCCACCAGGCTGAAGAACCAACCTGACAATCCTTGAAACAACGTCCCTCTTAACTCCACCGCGGCGAGGAGTCCAGACTCCCTCACTCTCAGTGCTAGCGGAAAGGTTACTACTGTCAGCAGTAGTGAGCCCTATAGTAGCTGCATTAATGGCGTCCGGCACTCCAGGATGGGTCATACGGGCTGGTGGATCAATAGTCCGAATAGCAAGTAGTTTCAATCCACCAGGCCCTGATTTCTCCTTGTTCTCGTCTCGAGCAACCGATACGCAGAAGACAGAGTCAGCCACAGCAATTTCTTCTCTGCTTGGATCGAATATCACGTTTTGCCCAACAGAAATAACAAGAAGTGATATTGGAGGGCGGAATATGTGCTGTGCAGGAAAGTTATTGGATAGTTTGCGAGGGTATAAATATTCGGCTGCGTCCCAATCGTCGTCAAACATCGGATCTTCTTCATCTTTTGATATTAGTCGCGGAAGCTTGGTAGATAGTAGTGCAAGATGTGTTGTTAGAGATAGCAACGGTAGAGGATATGATAGCGGTGGGGAAAGAAGTAATATCTGAAGACATTGTTAGCCTGCATATCTCACTATGTACGCGGGGCAAGAAGCTCACATCAACATAGATCCTCCAATGCCAGCCCTGGTTAATAACCAACCTCTCTTTTAAACCACCTGTTTCGGCTAACGATCCAGAACCAGACTGTATCAGCCCCTCCCTCATCATCTCCGCCAAAAAAACAGGTAACGGGTCGTCGTCTCTCAAGCCTGGAATCTCAATGGACATCTCAACCCATGAGCCGGAGCCAGACACTTTTGTTTTCCCTCTATTTGACTCTTCATCTTCATCTTCGCCCTCGTGTTCCTGCGCAGCGCTCTGCTCCAATGTATTCACAAACACCGTCTTCTCTACCTCCGCTTTCACTCCCACTATTGCTTGTGTTCCATCGGCAAATCCTATGCGCGCGCTGCCATTCGCATTTGGTACGATATTTGTCTCCGCTGTTAACGGCCGGAACTGTGTTGCTGAGCGGCCATCTGGTCGAATTGGGGTTTTGGGGTATGAGAGCGAGGTGTGTAAGTAGGATAACTCTGCAGGTGAAAAGTTCGAGACTTGGAGCGTAGAGCTTGGTGGAGCAGGGGCCATCTCCGCAGTACCTTGAGATATCCCACCTAAAACAATTCGATATTCAATGGAAGAATGAGCGTATTAAGGAATATGAATATGAGTTCCAGCTTGAATCAATCAATCAAAATATTCCTATAGAGCCGCAATGCCAAGTTCTAAAAACTCAAAATTGGATCTACTATTATCCGCGTGACAAAAGAAGCTTATTTATTTTAACCAATAGAAATAGTTGAAATTTAAAAAAAAATAAACCAATAGAAGCGTATGCCCGTTGCTAGATAATGATGAGGAAGTTTCTTTGCTCGCCAAATAAACATGAACTCATCCGATACTAAAACAATGAGCTAATTATGCTTAACTACCTAGCAATATTTTCTGAAAATTGAACTAGCTAACTAACCGTGCCTTGGAAGTGACTCTAATATTCCCGACTCCCTCCAGCACAATGGGAGGCAAGTTTTACAAAGTGGCGCTGTTCTGCGTGGTTGTGTCTATGTCAACATGACTTCTAAGGCCTGGTTAGTTCTCCCTTAGCGAGTTAAGTTGGTTTACTAGTTAGCGAGTTAGAACAATACCAATCAGCCCCTTTGTGAACATTGACATTACTACGCCCGTTCAAACCCCCGTGCAAACCACTGACGCGTCCTAAGCCGTTGCGCTATGGATATCCAAATACTCTCTGACTTGCACCTGGAATCGCCCTCAGCATATGATCTTTTTACCATCCCGCCAAAAGCTCGCCATCTCGCTCTGCTAGGCGACATAGGCAATGTACGCGACAGGGGGTTCTTCCCCTTCATTGAGATCCAACTCCGGCGATTTCAGACCGTTTTCTTTCTCTTGGGGAATCACGAGCCATATCATTCTAGCTGGGAAGAATCAAGAAAACAAGTCACCAACTTTTCTCAAAAAGTCAGTCAGCGCAAAGCTGAAGGCTTCGGAACATTCGTTTTCTTAGATCGGACAAGGTATGATGTATCTGCTGATACCACGGTCCTTGGGTGCACGCTGTACTCGCATGTCCCTACCCAGCACGAGGACGCAGTTGGTATGGGATTAAACGACTTCTTTCAGATTGATGGATGGTCGGTGGCAGAGCATAATGATGCTCATGCCGGTGATTTAGCATGGCTGAATGAGCAGGTCTCTTCTATCACGACTTCGGAGCCTGGAAGGAAAATAGTCATTTTCACTCATTATGGCCCTATTGCTGCTGATGGAAGAGCTACCGATCCTATGCATATAGGTAGTCCAATCAGCACGGGATTTGCGACGGATTTGACAAGTGAGCAATGCTGGAAGAGTCCAAGCATATGTCTCTGGGCATTTGGGCACACGCACTTCAACTGTGACTTTACTCTCGAGGTAGAAGGCTCCACGAGGAGAATATTGACAAACCAACGCGGATATTACTTCAAACAAGCACCGAACTTCGATATTGGAAGAGTAACAAATGTTTAGACTGGGCCGTGTTGTCCAAGGAACAGTACCGCTGTTACTCTATCCATTTCTCTATAGCGTGTTTAGTATGCTACCGATGCAATTCATCCTTTTTTGATATGGCTTCTTGTTAAGCTGATATGCTGCAAAATTCCTTTATAAGTTAGCTGAATACTATAATATATACGGAGTATTAGAGCTAAACATTGAAGTCCGGGGCAAGATGTTTATTCTAGGTAGAAATTTATTGAAACCTCCCCTAAATCATAATTATTTTGATACACCCCTCTATTTTGAGCAAGAGTGTCACGTGCCAGTCAGCACCCGTAAATCGGTTGCGTCATAGGCTTCTAGGCGCACCACGAAAAGAAAAGACGAAGGCCAACAACAGCTTCGCTAAACGACGAGATACAAACAACAACAATGTCTTCCCCTAGTACGGTGCCACTATCGACGCATCTCCAATACCTCTCCCAATGCCTCGAACTAGCTTCCCAGTCGCCTCCTAAACCGACCAACTTCCGCGTGGGCGCCATCCTCCTCCTCCGTCTCTATCCCACCAGGGTCAACCCAGAGCTCAAAGAAACGATACTCTCAACAGGGTACACTCTAGAGCTACGCGGAAATACGCACGCAGAACAGTGTTGTTTTGCAAAACTTGCCTCCCATTACGGCGTGCCGGAGGAAGAAGTTGGGAAAGTTCTGGAACAAAAACGTAAGGAGGAAGGCGGGGAAGCTCAGATGGAGCTATATGTTACCATGGAACCTTGTGGGAAAAGGCTTTCAGACAATAAGCCGTGTGTGGACCGTATCATTGAGACAAGAAAAGATGGGAAATGTGGTATTGACAGGATATATTTCGGTGTGAAGGAGCCTGGGACGTTTGTCGGCCAGTCCCAGGGGTGTAAGAAGCTTGACGAAGCTGGTGTTCAATGGAACCTTATCGAGGGAATGGAAGATGAAATATTAAAGGTTGCGACGGCTGGGCATGAGAAGAAAGAGAAAAGTAGCTCATGGGTAGATAAAGCAGATCAGACTGTTTTGGTTGACAGGGCGGAAGAGGAAGCACGTAGGGGAGAGCCCATTCCAAGAAATCCCAAGAAGAGGATGATGGAGGGCTAGGGTAGCCTTCGCGTCCACTTGAAAATTTTTTGATTGTTGACCTGTCTTTACAACATAATCAAGACCGCCACTGTCAGGAGTGGAATAGATAGCAACCCAGCATGTTTGCTTCTAGAAATTGTGGCCCCGGCATTTCTTACGCTCACGTTGAAGTTGTTTGAATTGTGGTTTTCCGCCCGCGAGCTGCCACTGACACCTACACCTGAATTGCCGCTTCCGTTGGCTTGATTTGACTCCGAGTTTGATTCTGATTGGGACGGCGTGGGAGCCTGGGCGGGAGGTGAAGGGTCTCGTACCCACGGCGGATCGCAGTTTGTATCTGGAGGGCAGCAGGCCGGCACTCCTCCTCTTTGATGGTAGCAGATGGACGGAGCAGGGCAATCTATCTTGTCATAATCCGAATGATTGCATGTTGGATCCCGGGCTTGCGTCTGCGAATAATACCGATTTCCACCTATGGATACATCTCTATCGGACAGCGGTAGTGTAGTGTTGGGATACGGGAATGCTGCCGAGAGACCTGCTTGAAGCAGAAGTAAATGGAGCCACCCTTGAAGGAGTGCCATGTTGTATCTGGGGTAATGGGGAAGTATGATGGGTATAATAAGGAAGTAGACAAGCGAATGGAGCTCAACTTATAATTGAGCAGACTGCCTCCCAAGCTGCTTGGGAGAAATGATTGATATAGCAAGGCAAACAAGTCCTCACGGACGTCGGGTTTGGTCTCTGGGCAAATAAAACAGGCATACTGTTTTGTAATCGCGCCCTATATATAAAAATTGGCATATACATATATAGGGCAGCTAGCTTTTAGTGTGCCATGATGGATATCAGCTGTGTCTGGAGCAAACTTGTCGGGTATCGCCAAATATGACGCTGCATGCCAACTCTCTGAAGAAGGCCGTTTTATTTGCCGGACGTAACATGCAGGGCAATACCGCTGGATACTCCGTGCAAGTACCAGTTTGCTCTTAAAAGTCATCCTACCTCACTCTATCTCTTCTTTCTTTGCTTTCTTGAAGCTGAGAATCCAAAAAAAAAAAAAAAAAAAAAAAAAACAACAACAACAACACAACAACAACAAAGCTAACTAAGCGTGACCATACTATAGCGGACTCTGTAATAAGAATTGTACATATAAGAGGTCTAGAATAGGCGTAAGGAGAGTGTCCTTAAGAGAAAAGAAGCTTAAGATCACGAAGGCGTGGAAAGCATTATCCATATAAAAGAGTGGTATTCAAAATACTTTCATTATAATTGGCTACGTGGCATTGTGCCTTCCAAGTTACGTCATACTAATTATGTAACCGCTTGGTCACGTGCATAGTTTTCTTCCTCTCGAGCACTTGATCAATTTCTGCTTGCTCCTTTGCCATCACCGTCCAGTCGAAGACTCCAGTTTCCTCCATCAGCGGTATCGTTTCGCTCCAGCTGACCTCGACTTCATTCAAGGGAATCCTTGTCTGGAGGTCGGCGTAGAAGATCCCATGGAGCATTCGACGGTCGTCGTCTTCCTCACCGTTGTCAATATATCCTATCCGACATATCTTATTGTCGATTGAATTTTGATCGAGGATTGTGAATGTTTCCATTGCGAAGGACTGGCGCTGGCGCTTACCCTCCTTCGTCGCCCAGTCCCGGACCTGTTCATCCGTCCAGTTCAGAAAGGGGGACTCGAAGTTTGGCATTGGCTTGCGGGAGCCGTGGGCGATTAAGTCTAGGTCAGTGGTTTGGAGGATACACGGGGATGCACCAGGGTCGACAATGTGTGGTGCGAGGAGGTCGAGTATGCCTGCGTATGACTGGTCTATGAATTCATCTAGAATCTAGAAGGTATGTGAGCAGAGAACCGGCAGATACGCTTATGTTTACCCCCATACATCTGAGGGTATTCTAGCAGTGCAAAAGACGGGATACATCATGCAGCATGTCGCAACCCTATCGTCAATTTGACCGTACTTTTGCTCCTCCTCCTGCCGCCGCCTTTCGCTCATTTTTCTCGTTGTCACTGGCATTGTGTCAAATATAAGAGGGCATCACATTGATAACTATTAGAGCTAGTATGTTTCTTTCCCCATAGTGGGTAGAGAGATTCTTTCTAATAGGAGTATGAGTGGCGCCTACGGTGACATCACGGAGGTGCCTTTCAAGCTAGCCATTATCATGGTTGACTCGATGGCTATGACATCGCAGTCTTGTGCAGCTAGTAATGGTCTTTCCATTGATTGGGCCTGACAGTTCAGTCATCAGATGATTCAGCCACTCTGAATGGCTTATGTCAGTTATTGTGGATATAATCAACACTGCTTCTGCTCCTCCCTCTCCCTCCTCCCTTCCCCCTCCTTCTTCCCCCTCCTTCTTTCCCCTCTTTGTGGCGGGCCTTTGCCGCCGCGGCAGCATTGGGGCCACAGAGGGTCTCTAGGTCCTATCGGACCACAAGGGGTAAAAAGGCCTAATGCCCCAAGATATCCTTGGGTAATGTGTGCGAGTGGGATATCCCAATAGGTCCTCTCCCAAGATACCATGACTGATCATAGCACCAGGGTCTCCTGTGTCCATGGCCTTTTTAACTGCGCTGCCGAGGACTCCGTCTTGATCTATACCCTAATGTCAGTTATTTGACTATGGCAGAGAGAGTATGATAAAAGGATAGAAAAAACATACAGTGGCCCTCATCCTTTGGCGTTCTTCGCACCGTAAACAGGTCTCCAGGCTTCCTGAAGCTTGCGGGTGGCTCCTCGTCTATGTCCGTATCTGGACTTTTAGGCAGATGCCCAGTTGCTTCTTCCCGACGCGCATCACTCTCTTTTTCGGTATTGAGGTTACCGAGCGTGGTGGTTAGACCAGAAGCCCCGTATCTTCTCACATAATCTCGGATATTTTCCGCCGTCTTCGGCGTCTTTTTGGGTCGATGTATGCCTTGATATGACGCCAATAGCCTGTGCGACGCGTCGACACCTGTCTCTACCCACTCTTGGGCCGTTTGGCTGCTTGGGAGCGAGGTCCGTCATGTTGAGAGATAAATGTTGATGAGTAAATAAGCGTGTGTGTGAAGTTGAAGTTGTTTTAAGAAGATGGAAGTTTGAAGAATTCGAAGGACGCGGAAAAGGTATTCATAGGTCTGCGGCAAGATGGCTGATGGAATATGTAAGTGTTTGAACTATGTGATTTGGAGGGACGAAGTTATGTTATTTAGGTAGGATGTTCTGAGATGATCTTAAATTTTTAAAGAGGTGGAGGAAAAAAACCTGCTATTTATGCTCCCCAGCTGCTGTCACTGCCTTTGCTTTCACTGCCTCCTTTCACTGATTTCGCAGTCACCACGTTTACTGCCGAGGCTATTCCGTATTCACTAATTCGGCTCCACGATCCGTCACCAAAAGATTAACCTGAGTTCTGGAATATAATGTCCTTATGGCTTTCTGATAGCGAGTACAGTAAGACTCGTCTTCTAGAGGGACAGGATGTTAGGCTGGAGGCGGTGTCTAGTATGTAGAAGAAAAGAGAGACTGCTATAGTATATAATACATTTATGATATCATTCTCCCTCTAGTATGAAGCTGTTGTTGTAGTACGTTTCAACATTATGGAGGAGTAGAAAGAATGGATGACACAATCTAGCGCTGGTGCCTAAGCGCGGCTAACTAACTACTAAGCGCCAGACGCGAACTTAAAACCTCGGTTTTTGATCCAAGTAAGAAACGCATAAACACGACTGCATCACATTTTATATACGGGGGATTTTTGATGGCACTACGCCTTACCTTGTCGCGATAATGGCCAGATGGCGCATGGCGTCCAGAATAAACCTAAGAATGAACCTATACCTGACGACAGCCTCCCGTTCTATCCGGCATACTGCTACAAGGCATCACCGACGCACTTCACATGGGTGAAGCTGACTGCTGTGAATGTCCATCGCCTGACTCGTCGAGAGGGATATGAAGGTAAGATACATGAGAATGAATAATGATGGAAATATAGAAAGTTAATGCATTTTGACAGGACAGAACATACATTTTTACAAAAACCACCCTATCCAATTCATCTGTTTGGCGGGTGTGATTGTTTCTCGTGACGAGCAGTTCCGAAGAACGATATTGACACTAGACGATAGTTCAGGGTCAAATATCGAAATCGTATGCTCAAAGAAACAATTTGATCTGCCGGTTTCCCAGCCGGCCCAGGCCGAGGTTAACCCTACTGTAATGGCTACGAGCACTGCACAGATCTCGGGGTACATTACATCCACCACCAAAGAGGCTTTAGAAATTAGCTCTCTCGTTCCTGGCGTAGTTGCCAAGTTTAAAGGGACCGTGGTAACGTTTCGCGGCATGAGACAGCTCCATCTAGAGCGTTTCGTGCTTCTTCCTGATATGGCTAGGGAGATGAAGTTCTGGGAAGAACGGACACGGTTCTTGGTTGATGTGCTTTCTGTGCCGTGGCATTTGACTGAAGAGCAGGTCGAGCAGTTGAGGATTGAGGGTGCAGGGCTAGAGGAGAAGAAGATTAAGAGGTCTAGGGCTAGAGAGGAGAGGGCAAGACGTGATAAGAAAACGGCTGAGAGGGAAGAGAAGGACTATGAGCGGATTGTTAGGAGGTACCAGAGGGAGGAGGAGGTGAGGAGGAAGTATGCCGAGTTGAGTAGGAAGGTTAGTGCCAGGTTTAAAAGGCCTAGAGGAAGATGACTGGTTTTTTTTCCATTTCGCATTTTTTGTTGAGATCAGGGAAACACATTAGAGGAAAAGGAAAACCCAACAATGCTTCCACCCATTAACCGCATTAGTTTAACATAAATACATAAAATAAATCAATCTAACGATATTCCCAAAACTTGTCATAATCAGAGAACCGAGTTCGACTCTCTGTTCTTTTCCTGCCCCTATCTCTATCTGACACAGGGCTGCGATAGAACTCCTCATCACTGCCCCATGATGTTCGACGACGGGCTTTGTCTTCCCAGTCTAGATCTCTGTCCCTGTCTCTGTCTCTATCTCGTCCGTGGTACCGCTTGGAGTCATCATGTGTATGAGAGTGGCTATGCGGGTGCGAATGGGTGTGAGAATGAGACTGGGGACGCATGCTTCCGTGATGGGAAGAAGAGTACTTAGAGTTGACATCGTCGCGAGGACTCAAAAAGTCATCATCGTCATCTTCGGCATATACAACCACATGCTTTTTGCCAGAGCCTGTTCCCGAAGCTGAGTCTGGATGACGTGAACCCTGGCTGGCAGTAGGGTGTGGACTAGTATCTTCTCGATATCCTTTCGGCATGCTGTAAGGCTTCCGTTCTCGCTCGATGGGCTGCACTGGTGGTGCTTCTGTCTCAGCTTTATCAGCACTGGCAATAATGACATGGTCGTCATCTTCGTCATTTGCGTCTTCAACCGTGGCAGAATGCGGGACCTGTTTGGGCCGGACATCGGTGCTTGCCGGGCGTGAGGGAATACCCGTCGACGCATTGTCCGTAGTTGACTTGGCTCGAGAATGGCGCGCAACAGGCGCTCCAAGCATGCCTTGCGTTAGTTCTACATGGCAATGTGTAGTTACCCATCTTTCAAGGGTTTCCTTGATATCATAGTCGGCCAGCTTTGGGAGCAATTTTCTTCGTAGCTCTTTTGGGAATCTTTCCGTTTTATCATCCGGGTTAGTGATAGAGATGTTCTGCACAATATTTTGAAGGCGCTCGAATTCTCTCTCCGGATGTGCCTGAATCATCATGGTCATCCAGCGCTCGAACCCGCGAGGAGTGAGGCCTGGGATATCTGGACGTTCATCAAGCTGGTCTTGGACGAGGTGGTGTTCTATCCTTAGAGCACGGAATAGACGAGAGATGGAAGAAGTGCGGTTATCGAAGATATCTATGCTTGGTTAGCGCTGTTATGTAGGGAAATACGCGGGTGGAACCATACCTTGCCACGGGTATGTGTCTGAGGGTACTGTGTGATCGCTGTAGAATTTCTGCATCTTCTCTGGCGTGATGACTAGAGTATCACCAGGCGGATAGTTTTGAATCTGCGGTCAATTAGAATATGTCCAAATGAGCACCACGTATCAGAGAACGATTAGCATACCATGTGAAGAGCGACACCACGTAGCAGCTGTCCCATCCTGCTGGTAGGTAGGTCGTCGGCGTCAAAAAGAATTCCCCATGCCTTCTCATGAGTAGACTCAGCTGTGGCAGTTGCGTGACTGGATGGCCCCTTTGGACGATTACCGCCGTTCCAACCATCATTAAACGACCCAAGCGACGACCCTCTCGCCCTATTTACACCAGGAGATGTGGGTGGTTGTGGAGTGGTATCTGTAGGATTTTGCGCCTGGGTGCCAGTAGCGTATGGGTTTCCATCAACCCTGGATGAGATGGGAGGGTAGGACGATTGAGACGGCGCATTAGAAAAGCCAGGCTGCCCTGGTATAGAAGATGGAGGTGGTCCGTACGGGCTCGTAGTAATAGGAGGACTAAGCGAGCTTGGGTTTGGGCTCTGTCTGTTGTAGCTTGACTGTGAGAGCGCCGGTGTTGGAGGCTGATAAGTCGACTGCTGCGAAGGATGAGTAGGAAGCGGAGGAGGGTTTCCTGGATTTGATACCCGGAGCTGCTGTATCACTGCCGCCGTGACCTGCGCTATCAGATCAGTTGACGGGTAGCCTGGGTCAGGTACCCGAGGGGTTGGCGGTTCCTGATGCGACGCCGTGGGTGAAAACGGCTGTTTCAAAGCATCTCCCGCCTGGGGCGGCAGAGGAGGGCCAACGGGCGGAGGATAGTACGCCGGCTGTTCAGTGTATTCTGTTCCCTGGACTGGCGCTGCTGATGTAGGGGCGTATGGCACTTGTTGCTGCTGTTGTTGCTGTTGTTGCTGGGGTGGCGGAGGCGGAGGGGGATGCGGCGGATGAGAAGACGGATCCTGCTCGACGGGATACTCTCCGTACGACGGCTGCAGATAGCCAGGGTACGGTGCGTTCGGCTGCTTGATGTTGTTTATATTGCTGCTGCTGTTGCTGCTGCTGGCGCCGTTGTTGCTTGCGTAGCTGTTGCTGGCGCCGGCGCTGGGATTGAACCCGGGCGGATCGAACGAGGTGCGGTATCCGTCGTACGCCATCTTCTCGTCCAGAACAGCAACTCTCGCTATGTTATCTGGTCAGCGCATGTCGAGCCTCGATGAAGCAAGGTAGAAATGACCAAGATGACTCCGAGTGCTGGCGGGAGTCGCTGGTCGCAAGTCGCATCGCAAGTGGTTTGTTCGCCGCCGCGTTTCTTCCTTGCCTGCGAACGAGGCTGTGACGTCGTCAAGTGATCCCTGTCATGTGCGGATTTTCGTCCCTTCGCATACAGGAGACATCGCTGGATTTAGCTGCCATATCGCAAGGAGAAGCTGGCTATGTCGTCTATATTCCTTGATGCGAGTGATTCCGATGTCTATATCTATAACTAAATCTATGGCTGGATGTTGTGGGAGTGCGTCCTCTCATATATACTGTGCTGCTATGCCGGGATGCCTAATCATACCCAGCCCAACGGGCAAGGGGCTCGCCTGAAGGATTTCTGTGTCATGAACGAATCATGGATCCTTCGGGGGTATAAGAAATAGGTGACTACTTCTTATATCCTACGAAGATGCGTTCCTTGACCCATCTTTGGCTGTATCCGTCATGAGTCTAACAGAGCTGCGAGCTTTCCTGCGTCGAATACTGGGCTGCTTTATATCAAATGCCCAGAGCCAGCCAGAGGATACCACAGATGTAGCTGAAGCTCCAAATTGCCGATTCCCGCTCGATGATGACAGTTCAGATGCGTTGACGCTGCCGGATGGACGGAAACTTGGATATGCACAATATGGTTTATTGACGGGCAAACCTGTCTTCTACCTACATGGTCTTCCAGGAGCACGTACTGAAGCCGCATGTTTTGAAGAGCTAGCCCTGGAACTAGGGGCCCGTATCATTGCCACGGACCGGCCTGGTATGGGCTGGAGCTCGCCTCATCCAGGTCGGTCACTTCTCGACCATCCAAAGGACCTGGAGGAGCTCGCAAAGCATCTTAAACTAGAAGAATATGGAGTACTTGTACGCCTCATTCTATAATATTTGTCCCTCTATGATTCTGGTATATTGACCATCTTAACAGGGGATATCAGGAGGCGGGCCATATGCACTTGCCTGTGCTGCATCACTGCCGCGAGAAAAGCTCAGAGCAGTCTCTATTATCTGTGGCCTCGGCCCGCCAGACATCGGTATGAAGGGTGCATGCTGGGCTAACTGGCTTGGATTTACCCTCGGTTACCGCTACTTCCCCATGGCCACCGGATGGTACCTCAAACGCCAGATGGCAGCGGACCTGACCCTAACTGATGAGGAACGATACCAGAGACTACTAAAGGAGGTGCTAAAGGCGAAGTCCATGCCCGAAAAGGACCGTGAAATTATGAAGGATGAAAGTACTCTAAGGCTATTCCTACGTACAAGTCGGCAAAGCTTTTCGCAGGGAAGTGATGCGGTTGTACAAGACGGCAGGCTCATGTGTAAGTACCTTGGCTTCCGAGTAGAAGATATACGTCCAGATTTGCCTGTGCAGCTTTGGTACGGGAAACAGGACGTCGCTGTTCCACTGAACCATGGCGTGCAGATAGCTGTGAGGCTTGGTGGAAGAGCAGCTTTCAGAGTCGTCGATGAGACACACTTGAGTATATGGGCAAATTACAGGGAAGAAGCATTGAGAGCGTTGGTACAGTGTATTTGAGACGTATTTGTACAAGACAGTCACACCTCAGTCGAGCTCGATAGAGTCAGCTATATTAGAGAGCAATCTCCGTACCGTTTTAAAGCAGAAAAATAGCCTGTACAACCCTCTCCCCGAAGAAAGCTCCCTGGGTACATTCGTCGATTTCGAACATTTGGCCCTTACGCTCGCTGAAACATTTGCCGATATAGTTACCAGCATGTTGACAGATCTTTCATTAGAAGCAGTTCAAGATAAAATAGTTATTGGCACTACCGAAATCAAAAAAACCAGCCACAGCCAGGTATAAAATGCAACCATGAGACTCGGAACTTACTCTAGCTTACCCGATCTTTTCAGCTTATTGCATTGCTTTATCATGCTATGAAATTCCCGCCATTTCACCGCCATATTTAAGATCTGTAGGGAATGGTCGAGCATAAATGTACATACTCATAGGTAATAGCTGGCAATCGGGCTTCGGCATAGTCGTGGCATCGCTGGCTGCATGAAGTCCTATGGTTGATAGGGGTAATGGCTTTCCAGATATGCTTTATAGGAAGCCGAATAGCATAAGGTCTCAATATCCAAAAAGGAATGTTTATATCTAGTCCATGTCAGTTGTAAATCACTTGTCGATCCCTGTAGCATGAAAACGTTCATTCAATAGAGCTTTTAATTAGTTAGAGTGTGGGGAAACCATGGTTCAAGGTGCCAGCATAACTGAGTTAAGATTTCCACCTAAGATAGTCATACGGAAGGGCCGGCCCGCCCGGTCAGAAAAACCTTCATGAGCAGAAAATACGAAGCCGATGCATATATCAGCTACACATAAAGGGCCAATAAACACCAATAACACTATCTCACAGTGCAACGCATGTTGTGTTTCTGTGGGGCTGTTATGCCTCCCCGAGGGCTATTCGCTCCATGCGCAGTCATGATTCAGTGGCGGAACTAAGTCGAGAGCTGTTGAATTCTGCGCATAATAGCTTCAGGAATATGAGAGCCAGCCGTTACTACTAAATGCGGTGGACGGTATCCCTGTGTAACGGCCTCACGACAAACATGTGTTTGAGTCGGGCTTAGAGTAACGGAGAAGCCAAGGTTGGACACATCAAGGAGCCCGCGAACCGCATCGGGAGGGTCGTTTGTAAAGTTCACGTATTGTATTCTGAGCCGCTCAAAAACTGGCCTCCCTCGTTTCGATTGCGCCTGGTAGATCTCATGGAAGATATGGCGAGCGACGTCATCATTGAGCGCTGCATCTTGAGATGCCTCCCCTAACTGTGCCAAACCGTCCCGACCGGTACCTTCGACCGACAAAAAAAGGTCAAAGTCAAAACGACAGAAACCTTCACGATATAGACGTAAATCTTTTAGCTGGGGAAGACGGCCTAAGGACTGGTATATGGCCATATCTACTGAATGGTCCAGAATCCGTGGGACGAGAAGGCAGACCTTTCTCAACTCTGAACAGTGTGAGGTGAGATCCTGGATTTTATCCAAAGTTAAGGTAAATGCTGGCTCTTGTTGATAATGTTTTCTTTGGGGTGAGAGCCAGATCCGCTGTAGTGAGGTATGGCGCTCTATTATGGCCTTAAATGTTTCATGGCCAAAATTATTCACCAACTTAAGAGCGGTGAGCGGAGGCAAGCTTCGAAGAAATACACTCGTCGCCTCGTCTAGTAACCCATTTTCTCCTAACATGTCGCTCTCTAGGCGTAGAGAAAGGGTCCTAAGCGAGGTGAAATTATACGCGCTTGCCTCCTCCAAGCTGAAGGGGTCTATGGCAGTGTCTAGGATAAGCTCCTGCAACGATGAAAAGACAATTCGTTCATTCCATGCCTGAAGTCCGCCGAATAAGGCTCCACTAAGCTTTAGGGAGTAAAGTTCTCCGCGAATATTGGGATCCTGGGTATCATTAGGGAAAACGTCTCGTTTTGGCCGCTGTCTAGCGCCTATGTTGTAGGTGAGCTGTGAGATTGAATTGGCAGCAACTCGTACATGTCTTAGATTCGGTGCCAGCCCTTGACTCATTCTCATCACAGCTAAGTCATGATAATCAACTTGCGTTTCAGGGTCTCCCTCGCCATAAAGTAGAGTAATACAGTGCAAAGAAGGAGAAGTAGCCAGCGCATACTCGTGTTGGGTTAGATCTCGCGCCCATCCCGTGTAAGAATAGAGATTTCTAAGCCCGAAAGTATGGAGGTGAAGCCTGCAGTTGGGTAGTGTTTGGTGCAGCACATCTAGCAAGCATGGTGGAAACTGGTTAGTGCAGTCGAAGACAAGGTCCCGGAGAGCTCGGAGTTGAGCCACGAAATGAGCCACCGGGGTCCAGTGGGTATCAAGCTCTATGGTCACCTCTGGGAGCTCTGCAATATTTTTATACTTGGTATATAACATGCTTTCAAGTTCGTCATCACTGTCAACCATAAAATCCTGTAGCGTTCCCGTTTGCTTTGCGGCACAGGCACTCCCATCAGCCAGGAGCTCCCCTTCAAACTCGAGTCGACGAACAGATCCGAAACCGGACGTACTCCGCAGTACGTCATTCCAATGATCCAAATCTGTACTCAGTTTTTTGGGGTTCTCAACAGTTAAGCGGATTTTTTGGAACCGTATTGCGTTTGATGCGAGGAACCAGCGTTTGCATACAAGAGTAAAGTCATAGAGGCTGGGTCTATAGCTAGAAGCAACGAAACCACATATCTGCTGCAAAGCTTCTAGCGGCAGATCCTGAACAGTAACCATGTTTGACAGCTGGGGAATGAAGAAGGAAGAGTACGGAGTAATGAATATTAATAAATAATACTGCATCCTTCAGGAGGTTGGGATGTTTGCTGCCTTTTATAGTTGTTACGCAGGAAGACGTGCTTAGTCATCTCATCTTCCCCCTTTTTTCACTTCAATGTCAATTAGAAAATTTCGATATCCAACAACAAATATCAAGAGCCAACAGATAACATAACTATTACCATCTCGCATAGAGCACCATAGACTATTATCGTTATACTTTACATGATCCGCCTTATATCTGGCTGAATACCCATATTAGAACTGCTGCGGATACTAAGCTTGCACAGAACGCTGGCCTGCCAGCGCTGCCAGAGTCGAGATCTGGAACAATTATGTCATCTCCTCCGCCAGACGTGTTGCTACTGCCTCCCTGATTGGCGATATCCTCATCGGACAGACGCTTTGCTTTCACGCAAGCCATTTCCAACTGCAGGTTTTTCACGTCCTTATAGAGATTACCCTGCAGTGGCTTTCGAAGGAGGAAAACACCGACGCCTTTCTTGATCTGCTGATCGTATCCAGTTGCCGCAATCTGCCGGACGATGTATGGAGCTTTAGGTCCTCCAGATTCTTTGACCCGGGTGTTTAATCGTCCTTCTCCGTTTTCGGTAGCGAGAGCTATTGCATGGTGAGCTACATTTCTTCCAAGGCCTATAAAATAGAACAGTATTACGTACCTCCGCCTACCTCGTAATGGTCAGTGAAGAAGCCATCAGGACATTTCATATTTTCCAGTGTTCTCTTCGTCTCGTTCTTAGCGTTTCCGAAAGTGTTGAAAAGGCGGGCAATCGCCTGGCCGGGACTTGATACCCCATCCGCTATTTCTGCTTTAAACCACGCTGCTAGGTTTTTGGAACACTGGGCTCCCCAGAGGCCATCGCAGCCATTGTTGCCTCCACTGGGGTCGCCGGTGAAATTCTCGTTCATCAACACTAGCATATATGTCTCCCGCATGCGCCGTCGGGTTCAGGTTGACTTCCGGGTACTCCAGCCAGAACGCAACTTTTGAATCTGGCGCAGGGGTTGAGCCTTCGGGGACATATTGTTTATCAGCTTCTTCTTGGGTTTCCGAGTCGAACGCGTACACGAAGTCCAGGGCTTTGGGGAAAAGTGGCTTGAACTCGAAGCTGACAGACCCGCGAGCCTTAGGATTCACGCATTTCTGAAAGTATTGGTCAACAGCACAGGGGTCATCATTAGCAGCAATAACTCCTGCAACGCGCAAAAACCAAACAGCGAGGAACAAGCATAAATAACTATCCATAGTGATGGACCTCATTTCTGACGCGATATTCGGTTTGGATATGGAAAAGGAAAACTTGTTCCATATAGCTTCCGAGTGTGTTTTATATATACTTGCATCGCAGCCATAATTTTTCTATGCGGCATAACCTGATCCCCCATGACTGTCTGGAATTGCTTTTGTTTTCATGATTTCTCCCCAACCTTTTCTTGGAGAAGAATATCCGGCCTAGTTACGGAGTACGGGTTACGGGGTACAGATAGCAAAATGGTGTTGCTGGAAAAACCGACGACGCCTATATATAGCAAGTAAGCAGTCGTTTAAATACGACCTCCGTCTGCACCAGCTTGCATAACGCCAACGGTGTTGGCAAAACAAACTTCAGGGGCGGGAAGGCTACGCGAATAGCCATGTTTTCAGTACGTACAGGCATTAACAAACAATAGGCTGTCTGGAATATAAGGCGCCTTATTGGGCAACAGCTGAAATATATGACTCGAGCTATCCCTGTCATCTCGCTTCTTTGAGCTCTTTTATTCGAGCGGAAACATCAGACGTCCAAGCATGCCAATGTTTTAATAACGCCCGGAGGACAGTCGTATAAAGCAAAGGCTGACCTCTCAACTTCACAGCGCGGAGCAACGGGAACCTACATTGACACAAGGTAAAATTGCCATGGAGTCAGCCTGCTGATCAGAGAGAGGGGAAAGACTCCCCGTGTTCGTGCATGGGGCTGCGGGCTGCTTCGAGTTTGGATGGACTTGTATCACTCAAACATGGTCTCTTTGGTCTCCTTGCCTCTGGGTTTGTCGTCTGGCATCAAGCTTTCCGATGCTGTCATTCCGCTATTTCAAATCCACTGGGGGGCCTGGGACCTTGCAGGATGCGCTCTTTATAGCAGCTTCCGTTGTCAAAGCTTTTATTCGGAAGGTTGACATTCTTGGCGCCAACAATGAGGATGCCAAGCTGAAACGTCGGCTCTCGGCGCTTACTAATTGCAATTGCCTTGGCTCCCGCCTGTGAAGGAATACGGGTCACTTGATGGTCACGTGTAACTATTGTATTCACCTCTTCTCTATCATGGAGGGTCTTGGAGATAAATTCTAAAAGCTTCAGACCTTATTGATACCCATCACATATGACGGACGTCAGCCTAGAGGCTATACAGTCAGCACTACAACTGAAGACGTTTCGAACACTACGATATACAGGTTACAACTAATTTAATGGCGATACCCTACAACGCGTTCACTTTATCATATCCCAATAAGGATAAGTTTGCCCAGTTATAGCCGTCGTGCGCACAGATTGGCCTATAGACAGGACGTACTTGAGCAAGGCCGTCAAAATATTTCTGACGTTGACAGAGAACGTCGTTGACAACTCCACTTACCAAAACTGCATCAAGGGCTACGGCGCGGGAAAGCTGGGCCATAAAGATTTCGCGCAGAAGCTTATCGAGGTCGGCGTCATTACAGAAATCGTTTACAAGAAGATCATCACAGGCGTGTCAGCTCACCAGACCGCCCACGAAAGTCGACTACATAACCTAGGGCCCAAAATTGATAATTTAAAAACATAGCTTCAGCCTGCTGACCACTAACTAGTGTTAGCTCACTCTTTTGGCTCAACCCTTTTGATACAATAAGATGGCTCAGATGTTGGCCGAGGTGGCATTTCTTGACAGCATACTGCTTAGTGCAATGGGGTCTTCACCCCATACCACGCCACAGAAGACTGCGAACTCGACTATAAAGCATTTGATGTTCATTTAAAGATGGCATATGATATCCATGGCGAGGAAAGTGCTGTCGGTGGAGCTGAAAATGAAGATGATAATGTGATATTTGATGCTGGTGAAGTTGATAGTGTCTCGGTATTAATACCTCATCAGGCCGGCCCCAGTGACCAGTGATGCTCTACTGCAGTTAAACACTTGAAGGGCAAGTAGTTGCCAGAGATCTCAATTTCCCATGGGTATACTCCATACATAGGGGGCGCAGCGACAGGCGCCTTGCCTAATCCTTGCCGCTGTTGATTCGGGAGTATAGCGAACGAGTTTATGCAATGTTGTTGGGATATTCCACTTTAACTAGACTCGCACACATTACCCAAAATATCCTCGGGGCATTAGGCCTTTTTGTCCCTTATGGTCCAAACAATGTTGTTTACGTGGGTTAAGTTGGGTGGTTACGCTAGCGTCTTCCGAAGTTCTATTATAGTTAGGCGCTGGCGCGTTCTTTCACGGCGGCTAATCTCCACTGCACTTTCCCCAATCTTCAGAACACCGAAGGATAGCTTTCTCCAAACCAAGTCTTCTCTTGCATTCGAGCTTCTCTTCCATTCGAGCAACATCATATTACCAATGTCGATTATCACCTAAATCTTCATATCTGACTCAAAAAAAAAAAAAAAAAAAAAAAAAAAAGAAAAGAAAAGAAAAATAACAGGTCAATCTCATGCGTCAGAAGTTTATATACGTTAGGTTGACCAATCCTTGGATCGGGTTTGGAGCTGGGGCTGTAAAGTAAGTAGAGCGCTCATCATATTAAAAATGTAATTACTGACAATTTCGCGTGAGAGCCAGGGCAAAATCCGTGGCAGGTACTGCTACAGCCCAGAAAGTCCGGCGCCTCCATAGGCCGAGTAACACCGATAGTCTATCGTGAAATAATGACGAAGATTTCTTTCGGTTTACACGCTCTCGGTTTCTTCGCGATGAAGAGAAAGAGTCAGCGTTGTCGAATGAATGGAGGACAGCAGCGGCCAGCACTTCAAACGACTAGGATGGCGTGCGCGGCGCGGAAGGGGACAAGCTGAGGCAAGAGGACAGGCAGTTATCCGTACGGAGGATCTCGTCCGATGTTATACACTCGGGGTCAAATGGAGAAAGTCTATGCGGCTAGCAGCCCGCCGTTGGAGCATAACCCTACAAGGAGTGTACTCCATAGGGGCAATACTGAATAATGAGGGGAAGGCGGACAGAAAAGGCGGACAGAATATCGCTTAAATTATAGCCTGCTCCATCCTCTTTGCAGCCCCAGGGATCTCGGTTCCCCCGCAGCCTTCCATCATCGTCAACCGCCAGAGTCACACTTGCTTCTGGCCTCCGCTGTGACGATGTTGGTCGCAGGGCGGAAA